TAGAATTTCTATAGTTCCTGATAGGTTTTAACAATAGTTCTGCTACGTAACATCGTTAAAATAGGAATTTTCCAAAAATTTAGGTGCTACATGGGTGTCAGTTCCAGCACTGCACTTTTTTAAAATTCTTGAAAATGATTCAACAATAGGCTTTTTCAATAGCTCTCGAGGAGTTCTATAGTTCCAGATAGGTTTTAACAACAGTTCTGCTACGTAACATCGTTATAATACCTATTAAGGATACTAGTCGCACCATATGCTTCAGTGCAGGTATGCATAAGGAGCTGGCTTTCAGTGTTGTTTTCAGGTTGTGTTTCAAACAGTTCCGGAATAATTCTCTCTAGTACTCAATGTTGGGACCATAGTTCCGCTTGGAACTATTGTTAAATAATGATGGAAGCTAGCACGGCATCGCTGAACTCCTTAACACAGGCAGGCATAAGGTGCTGGCTTTTGGCTTAGTAAATCTTATCGAACTTACACTGTACATTTGAATTTAAGATTACAAAAAAAAAGATTTAGGCAATATCTGATAAGCGGCCTCTTTCTAAGGGTTGCTCTGGGAATCAGCTGTAAGTAGTGGAGAATCTCTGCCCGCCAGGCTACCCGTTCGTGATCACGTTCAGCTCGGCTGCGACGGGATATGCATTATCGACGGTGGCGATGATCACAAAATTCTATTTCTAGACTCGCGGCTACGATTTAGCGCCATGTTTTTGGTATCGCCTAAAACCGTAGCGTTGTGCATCTCCCTACTGATCTCTGTTTAGGCAATACTAAAAATATGACGCTAAATCATAGCGGCGAATCCGGGAGTAGGATTTTGTGATCATCGTCTCCGTCGATAATATATTACCCATCGTAGCCGAGCTCAACGTGATCACGAACGTTTAGCCTAGCGGGCAGAGGTTCTCCGCAACTTACCGCTGGAGCCAGAGTACTATCTTTCTAGATATTTGTATCCTCATAGTTGTAGAAGCTGCGTATTCTGTAACCTTACTTAATAACGTTTACTCCGGAGTTATTTAATGCTGGGTGAATCAAATTGAGAATCATGTTTGGTAAACTGGCATTGAACATTTTTCAAGCGTTACCGTATGTATTATTTTCCAAAAATTTATTGATTATTTTCTTCACACAAATATGAGCAGATGTATTTAGATTTTCATTTATGCTTCTGGTGTTGTGCCACTTATACGATGCTTGTAAATTGTTTCAGAAAAATCACTTGTAATTTACCAGCGAGGAACCTGTGTATGTCATCTAATACCCCTAATGCTCTTTTACCCGCTCAGACACCTGGTGGATTATGGAGCTTGACCTTTTTTAGAACACGAATGAGATATCATTTTCCAAGACCTAACGAAGTTAGGAGAATCAAACGACATGGCTGGCAGGCCAGGATGTCAACACCATCAGGAAGAAAAATTTTAATGCGAAGAATACTGAAAGGGAAATTTGTACTCAGTCACTGAGATTGTAAAAGTTTTCAATAAAATATACGTTTTAGTGTAAAATGTAACATCTTTATTCCATTTAAGCAGAAAGTTGTTGATAACAATTAAATAAAATGTGGATATTACATTTATTTAGATCTACAGTGCAATCTCAGCTCCATCTTTAGGTATTTGATCTTCTTCCTTTGGAAGTTTAAACTGTAATTTTTCACAAGTCCATTCAAATTCTGGCATTAAGGGTGCGGTTAATGTTAAACCATCGTATCGGCCATAGTACGATGGTAAATATAATTTACGAAGATGAATGTGTGCTGGTATAATTAACTGTTCCTTAGAAGACAATGACAGAAGCTCCAAAATTTCCGCTTTTATACTAGGTGGTCGGTGAGCAGCATCAACGAATGGACTGATTTTCACACGCGATCCCATCACTTCCTGAATAAGGGATCCTCTAATCCTGTCGCCCAAGATTGGACTGTTCAATGTGGTTGCAGCAAATAATCGCAAAGCATGCCATTTTGTCGTCGATGTCTTTATCTGTAATAACGTTGATAAGTTTTGCGTTGAGTTAGAAAGGACTTTAAAGTCGACGTTGAGAATCTTTATATCTCGTCTCTTTTGTTCCATATGTGTCCAATTGTTTATTATTACTGGCTGTAAAGAAGACAGGATTTCGTATATATTACTTATATTAGCGATCAACAGATAAATCAGATTTTAAGATATAAGTGTATGTAAGAAATCAATATAAATTACCACAGTGTATGTTTTACAAGGACTTCTTTGTAACTTCATAGCCAGATGCTTATGTCCTTCCTGTTCTTTTGGCATATATCTTGTTACTACCCAATATGTTCTCGGAATTACTTTTATGGACTGAGCCTCGCGAAAACATTTCATTACTTTCTGCTTAATCTCTTCGTTTACTGCAAAAAGTGCAACTCCAGATGTGTATCTATTAGTTGAAAACAATGTTTCAGTACTTGTCAAATTATAATATACTTTATAAATAGGAATTGAGTTTTAGCTCACTTCTCTGGTATTTTTATTGGTTCTAGAGACGAATAACCAAGTGTTCTTTTAATGTGTGGAATTGCATCTGTTAATGTATAATTCACACTATTGGGAATATCATTTTCCGATTTTAGTTTTGAGCCATCCTTATCAAATACCGTACGACCAGATATCCCATAAGGTTTATTTAAAGCCACAAGTCCATCTGAAAATAATGATTCTATTTATCTTACAAATATCAAACTAGATTTACATAATAAATAAGAATATAGCATTACCATGACAATAAAGAAGATGATTATCTAAAAGAGATGTACTAAATTCATCAAGTGATTTCCAAGGATGGATATTTTCATAGACATGTTTCTTTCTACTTTGCCTTTTAGATGTAGTATATTTCCTTGCAGTAAATATTTCACAACATTTACTTCCTTTACTTATTCGAGTAAGTATCAAGCCGGTCAACCTTACCAAGCAATTTTCCATTTTACGATGATGAATTATAGTACGAATTGTAAATACTATGGCTTTGCGGCACAACCAGACACCTTAACCTTACAGTTCACGAAGCACCTAAACTTCGCGTTTCTTTTTTTACTTCCTTCCTATATGAATCTTCGAACTCTACTTATGTATCAGGTAAATACATTGTTCATATATATTTACGAGAACATTGTCACTCTGTTAAATTATATTTATTTAACTTGTATTTAGTTTCTTGTAATGCAACAATAACGGCAACAATAATCACTGTGAATTCAGAATCGGTTCTACAAAGTTCTGTCTCCGATACAAGCTGTAAGTACCGTGACAATTTAATTTACATATACACATTACATTAAATACGGTATTTAAATCTATAATTTCTTTTGTAAAATAATATTTGTTTATATTATATGTGCGATTAGTTTCTCAAAAATTTCTCGTAAATTTGGCCGGCAACAAATGTGAAGTTGATCCAAATTATGAGCACGTGTTTTCTCCATCTGATCTTATTTTTGAAAATTTTTCATACCGACGACTGATTGTTGCACATTTATATAAATAACTGTTTATGCTTATTATTAACTAAATTCGAGCAAAATTTCATTGAATGTACGTCCCATTAATTCTAACTGCAGCATAATACTTGTAAACTGAATTATAAATTTGCAATATTTTCAGCAATATGAATGAAAAATGTAGTGGAGCAACTACAAATCAAGACTCAAGCCAGAAATCATTAAGTAGGGCTGAAGCTGGTTTACATGGAAAACTTAAAACACGATATGTAAAATATCATCCTCACTATTTGGTATGTGGCTATAATTTGCATAATACCAAATATGCAAATTATACTGATGTGGAAAGTATTATGGATCTTTATCAAGAATTTACATTCAACTGTGATTTACCAAAACCTTTGTTACCACCGGCAAAATTACCACGGTGTGGTCAGTATTATTACATATTTGCTATTGGGTTAAGAGTTTTATACAATACCCTCTTTGAAAATATAAAGGTGCTAATACTACACAGAGTTTATATTTACATTTTAGTTCTAAGAGATGAAGATCCAGTTCTTGAACTTCCTATGGCCAAATCATTGCTTCAAAATCGTATTGACAGAATAACAGATTATTGTGAAAAGAGGAAGAATGGTACAATCTTTAAGTGTTGCCTTATTTTTAATGTGAAACATTTGATTTCCCAATGAACTTCCATATGACAAAAAATATATAAAATTTTCTTTCAGGGCTAGTTCGGTTTTTGAAAAAAGATTTAAAATGGTCAAGGCACTATGGCGAAGCACGAGCAACTGTACCTAAATACGTTGCAGATATTGCTGAACTGGTGGAATTGGATCCTGATCTTGATTTTCAAGGGGTAAGATGATTGTCTGAACTAATTTTATTTTAATAATTATGTATCTTTTATTTTTATAGAAATATAACTGGTATTACACAGGAGGGACAATGAAAACATTGTTACTGGGTGCCACAAATGTTTTGGTTTTTCCATATGCAAACGAATTAGGTATTACTATCATCATTCTGAATAATATTTATGAAGAGCAAAATTGATATAATTAATTTATAATATAAATTTCAGTTGCTACTCCCATAGTACATAAAGAATCATCATTATTGAAACCAGATCTGAAACATGCATCAAAATATAGCATGGATGGAGCATTATATGAACTGAGGCATAATAACCATGGTAAGTTGCAGTGTTGTTTGAAAAATAATAGCTTAATCTTATTATTACATATAATAATAAATCGATTCTTGTGCTTAAGGCTGTATTTTGGGAAGATATAAGAATCAATGTGTGATTTATTGTATCTCGTACATTGATAATAAAGTAGAAATTTTCGGACAGCATAAACAATCATCACCGATAGCATACATAAGTGCAGATTTAAATTCTGAATATCGAAATCAATACTGTACAGTAGACTTGGATAGATGCTTATCGTTGTGGGATATTAATAAAGTGTGAGTAACATTCTCTCTTTACATAGCAACGAACAAGTGGATACAAAATTGATTTATACACTCCATAGAACGATCAAACTATTTTGACAATTCTTTCATTCTTTCAATAGGAATCCCTTAAGTACGAATCCCTTAAGTACTAATGTTATACCGCAGACCCAAGTATTGGATGACAAATGGTCAAGTATTCATTTCCAGCAGTCTGATCCAAACATTATAGTATTCGTTGACAGATGTTGTCTGCACTACATGGACACTCGGGTAATTAATCAACTCGTACAATAAAAATTGCTATGATCGAAATTAGTCCTTCACATAAATAATATATATATTTTTTTTTAGACATCGTTAGAAAAACCACAATTAACACTATGTCCTAAACCATATTTAGAATCATGTGAGAATCTTTGTCTTGACATTCCAAGTAGGAACAACGATCAGCGATACATAGGTTCATATCACAATTTGTTAATGTGTGACAGTCGATCATCAAAATCACCTGTCATACAAAAATGGACTCATCAATTTCAAAGTCCTCCCTGCGTTGGAAATACTTTCGATAGGTAAGATTATATTAATTTCTGTTATCAAGATAATATGAGAAAAGCAGAAGTGTATTCACATAAAGTTTTTTTTTCAGGGATGAGAAGGAATTCGTTGTGATATGTAGTCAATTAACTGATGAAGTTTCAATTATTTTAAATACATGGGTGCACAGTGATACTCCACACTCGTTTAGTCTGCCATACACACCGCCAAGTATTTTACAAACTTTAGCAGTATCTCAAAGTCGAGGAAAATGTTTGGATCCCATTATGAAATCCAGAATCGAAGTGAGTAATGTTGGTTGTGCAATGGGAGCTGATACCGAAGGTCATATATCACTTTTCCTACAGAATTCATTAAGTAAGTAACATGTTAATCACTTCATTTTACTATGTTGCTTTGTGACTTTTATTTCATGTATTTAATTGACACATGTCTTTCTAGATGATATATTTTATCAGTGTATCACACATGAGACACAACTAGACATAGATTCCGAAATGAATATTAAAGCTTATTTGGCATTGGAATTATGGGAACGTGTTATGTTATCTCAAAGGAAAACGATAAAGCCACTTTTACTTTCCGACAAAATTAGCATGGAACACGTGCACAAAGGTGAGTATATTTACATACGGTTATAGATTAGCGCAATTAAAAGTTAACTTAATGACATTTAAATTAACAGAACTGACGAATAAAAAATTACGTTTGAAATATGAGAGAGAGGTTTGGACTCTTTATCGTTCAAACTGGAAACAGTCTGTAGAAAAATTACATTCATACGTGGACATACTAGCCCCGGAGCTTTTGGCTGTTTGGGAAATTAAAGAAGAGCCACCTTCGTCGGCGGTTCCACATCAGAAAGTTTTAAGTTGGTTAGAAAAAGCAGCGACTGGTAAAACAGAAGATGAGGACTCAGAATTTACTCCAACACCTTCAATTTTCACGCCGTCTCCAATTAATACTCAGGAACTTATAAGTGTGTCTCAGCCTTTGGATACAGAATATAATGACGATATTGATCTTGAACAGGAAGTAATCAGTCTGCCAGAAAAGACCAAATCACTTAAGAAAAAGAACACGAAGAAAAAGAAATATATATCTGGATTTTAATAGAATACATCCCCTAGTAAATATTCTTCTTGCATCCTCGTAGTAAAGTTCAGATTAAATACTGTGATATTACATATTTTTAATAAAAATATCTGCTGTAATATGTCCAGTACTTATCAGTTTATTGTTAACTAATAATATGAAATTTCAATGTGCAAAATAAATAACTAAATAGTCTTTTAAATTAACGGTATGGATGTGAACATCGCTTTTACTTTATTTCTAACAAGGTACAGTACAGATGTTTTGGCCATCTTATTACATTAGCTGAGATGATTGCGAGTCTCAATTCTGGGATGTGTAATTCAAATATATGGAATTGCGTAATTAAACAATTATTTAAATTGTTATTAACGATTTTTCAGAAAAGATGGCGTCCACCTCGATACAACTACTTTGCTACCTTCCTTCTGAGCTTTGGTCTCCTCCTCTTCCATTTGCTGTTGAAAGAATTCGAATTTTCATAGCTGCTTATGGTATAACAAAGACAATAGCAATGATTCATGTAGAGCTTACTAATAATTTTCGTTGATTTTCTCTAAAGGCTTCCAAAGGGTTGTCGAACTGTCTGTAATAATTAAGTACTTCCCGGACATCTTCCACGTTTGTAGCAAGTATCGCTGTATCAATAATACCGGAAGGATTTTAGTTAAACAGTTTCATGAACAAGTTGTACTAAAATAATTATAATAATTCATATTACTTCTAAGGAAGGCGGCCAGATCATACAACGTAGTGTCATCATCATTTCCGGTCCATCTAGGAATCTTGAGGGTGTTTTCAGGATGGAACTGTACACTTTTCGAATTCCAGTCGACTACGATTACCTGAAAATATGAACCAAATTTTTAACTAATTTGTACGTCTTACAACTGCAAAACTCACCTTACTAAGATCACGATTAAGGGCACTCAAATCCTTTACGTGATGTCCGTCAACGAAACGTGTTGCATCTCTAACCAATCTGTACATTATGTAGCCTTGTGGATCAAGAGCATCCAAAATTGGGAAGACCGTCTATAACATTATTTAGTCAGAGTTACTTTGGTAGTTGCAATTTTCGCTGTAAAATACATGACTAAATAGTCTTACCATTCCCTGTTCTGAAGTGTATACCACAATTTCAAATTGTGGTGGTGCTACGGCATCTAAAAAGTAATCGACGCCTGGACGTTTCTTAAATCTCCACCCTGTGAGATACTGTATATAAATTTTAGACAACTGTTTCTCGTACTCATAAATAAAAAATACGGATCACAAGATATTACCGTCCAATCAGGATGTACTAATACGTCTGTCATTTCCAGGACCAAAGTATAGGGAGGCTGAATATAAGGATGGCTCAGTGGATCTGGAAGTAGTTTTTCTCTGCTAGGTTCCTGTACAAACTGCATTCAAAAACTAATTTTACAATTTGTGGATACAAAATTTATGGTAAAAAAATGCAAGACTTCTGAGATGTTTGCACCACACACCAACTATGCCTGATACACATGATAACTGTACCTTTTTGTAGTAATTTAATTCTCTACACAGTCTTCTGTATAGCTGTTCAAAATATGGTAAGTGACTAAACTCATCCTCAATGACATTTCCATTCTCATCAATATTTGGTCTAGCTAGTTCGTAGACCAAAACCGAACCCATCAATCCCATAGAAATTCCAAAAAATGCAAAACTGTATTTCATCATTTTCCATGATTGTTCCCGTTGCTTCTTCTCCTCTTCCTCTTCCTTTTTCTCTTCCTCCTGACGTGAACGCTGCTTATCTTGATCACCTGTATTGGGAGATAGCGTTGCAGTAGCAGTTGTAGGTTGAATATTGGTCAAACTCCCAGCTATCGAAGGTTTAGATGCTGTAAGAAGAAAGTATAATTTATTATACAGCAAAACGAAGAATCCCCAATTACTCGTAATACTTATACGATTTATCAACGTTCTATTAAAATACAAATATTAAATAAAACTAATCGATTTCATATAGTTACGCATACAGATCATTATAATTTATCAACAAACATTACAAATCTATCAAATTGCATTTAAAATCGTAATATTTTATCTTAAAAAAACTAAATTGTAGCAGAAAGATTGGAAAAATTCCTTGCGAGGTTAGCGCTCCAAAAAATACACTCACAATTGGTGCCGTAACAATATTTTTGTACCGCCTGGACCAAGGAAATCCTTGAAGGTGGCTGCCGGAGGGTAGAGTACGCTGCACCTCTGCTGCCATTGCATATTTTACAGAAAATACGCAAACTCCTCGATGCAAATGCCATTACTTTTGATGGAACGTGAGATCTTGATGGGTCTGATGTACGTAAAGCAAAGAACCGCCGGCAAAGCAAATCCTCTAGAGAAATTCTCTGGGGATTCTATTTCATGACAGTCCTACGCGTGGTAGTGGTCATCTGTCTCCGCCATTTCTGAAAGAACCAATGAACGTTGTGCGATAAATTCATCCGAATGTAATTTAAAAATTGTACCATCGAAACATTAATGGGTCAATTCATATTGTGACTTACTTTAGAAATTTATTTATTATATTGCAGTGACATATGTAATATATCTCTAATGGTATTGTTATTGCTAATCTTTTGTAAACCATATGTGTATGTATATCTGTACTTCGTGTACTGTATCAGTATTGTGTTTGTCGAATAAATCATCGTGTAACACTTATACACTTTTCGAATCTTCTATTCCTTCCTATATCTCCATCACCCTCCTCCTAGTATATCCTTCAAAACTAAGTTTTTAAAATGTTTTTTGGAAAAAGAAAAGTTTGAAGTGGTAGCGCATGTAACATACCACACATATATTATATTGCAGTGATATATGTAATATATCTCTAATGGTATTGTTAGTGCTAATCTTTTGTAAACCATATCTGTATGTATATCTGTACCTCGTATACTGTATCATTATTGCGTTTGTCGAATAAATCATCGTGTAACACTTATACACTTTTCGAGTCTTCTATTCCTTCCTATATCTCCATCACCCTCCTCCTAGTATATCCTTCAAAACTAAGTTTTTAAAATGTTTTTTGGAAAAAGAAAAGTTTGAAGTGGTAGCGCATGTAACATACCACACATATATTATATTGCAGTGATATATGTAATATATCTCTAATGGTATTGTTAGTGCTAATCTTTTGTAAACCATATCTGTATGTATATCTGTACCTCGTATACTGTATCATTATTGCGTTTGTCGAATAAATCATCGTGTAACACTTATACACTTTTCGAATCTTCTATTCCTTCCTATATCTCCATCACTCTCCTCCTAGTATATCCTTCAAAACTAAGTTGTTAAAAAGTCCTTTGGAAAAATAAAAGTCCAAAGTGGTAGCGCATGTAAAATACAACACGTATATTATATTGTATTGATACATTTTAATATATTTCTAATGGCTTTGATATTACTAATCTTTCGCGGAATATATAGGTACATTTGTATTCCGTATACTGTATCATTATTGTGTTTGTCGAATAAATTATCTTGTAACACATATACACGTTGATATTCTTTTACCCTATGCGAATATTCCAGAGTACGAATGAGTTCTGTCTCTTTCTTCCACTCCTCCGTCCTAACAGCATCCTTCTCCTCCCTTATGCTTCGAAACCCTTTTTTAGCTTTGCACCATTTTCGATTCCATCTCTGTCATATTATCCATATCTTGACTTCGCTTTTCTTCCACAATACTACCTTCTAAGATCTAATGATTTCAAGTGTAATTTGAAAATCGCATCGTCGAAACTTTAGTGGGTCAATTTTTAATAAAGAATTCGCATTAGTTCGAATTTTCGCCGATAAGAGGGCAGCACCTCCTGGGCATGATATGTGGCGCCATCTCTGAGAGAACGAGTGAACTTTCTCCGATAAAATAATTCCGAAAGTAATTCGAAAATCAGCTATATCAGGCTGGTACAGATCAAACTGCGATAGCCTACCCAATGCAATATAATATACGTGTGGTAAAAAACTTAGTTTTTAAGGATATACTAGGAGGAGAGTGATGGAGATAGACCTACCCTTTCAAAAAATCCCTTTACTTTTTGCAACTTGCAGATGGAATGAAAGTAATGGCAGAGAAAATGCAGCATAGCCGAAAAGTGGTGTAGAAGCATAAAGTTGGAAGAGAAGGAGAAGGATGCTGTTAGGACGGAGGAGAGTACGAAAGAGACAGAACTCATTCGTACTCTGGAATATTCGTATAGGGTAAAAGAATATCAACGTGTATATGTGTTTAAAGATAATTTATTCGACAAACGCAATAATGATACAGTATACGAGGTACAGATATACATACATATATGGTTTACAACAGATTAGCAATAACAATACCATTAGAGATACATTAAAATATATCAATGCAATATAATATACGTGTGGTAAAAAACTTAGTTTTTAAGGATATATTAGGAGGAGAGTGATGGAGATAGAGGGAGGAATAGGAGGTTCGAAAAGTGTACAAGTGTTACAAGATAATTTATTGGACAAATGCAATAATGATACAGTATACAAAGTACAAATGTACATATTGTATAGTCCGCGAAAGATTAGTAATGCCATTAGAAATATATTACAATATATCACTACAATATAATATACGTGTGGTATGTTACATGCGCTACCACTTTTGACTTTTCTTTTTCCAAATGACATTTTAAAAACTTTCGCGTTTCGCGTTAGATTGGTTAGATTTTGTTAGGTCAGTAAAATTGCGCATTTGCGCAATGAGGAGAACTGGACATTACGAAGTGAGAAGAAGATTTACCTATCTCTGTTTCAATACATTAGGGGCCACTTTTGAATGCGCCATTCCTCTTCCAGGAGTATAAGGTGTGTGGATAAAATTTACGTTACTCCCTACTCATCTCTACCACCCGTTAGTGGTGGGTTGGCGGATATTATTCTTCAATATATTTTGCGTGGTTGTAATTGGCACATACCGATCTTTAACCGTTTTGCATTATATTAATATAATCTGATCATTTGATGATATAATGAATTAAGAAAAATGTCCTGCTCTGCTGATTCAAAACATGGAGAAGATCTCGATACTAGCCATGAGAAGGAGATGAAAAAACAACTCCAAGAAAGAGCAGAGAGAAATCGGCAAAAAGCTTTACTTATAAAGAAATCAAAACTTATTGCTCATCCGTATGCCAAGGAGTATGTAATTTTAATCTCATTTGATAATTTATGAGTTAAATTATTACTACTTTGTTTTTCATTTTTTTGTTAGTTTAGTTAACATTGGATTGTACAATACTCATCTCTTACGAATGGATGTTATTATTGCATTTTAATATATTTTAGAGATAATGGTGATTCCACAAAAGGAAGACAGTTAAAAGTACATGGACAACGTGTCATTGATAGCGGTGGTGGTTTTCTTATAGAAGAAGATGACGAATTGGAACAACAAATGGTAAACATAAGATGCTACATATAACATTGTTTTTAAATTTAAATTACATAGTCAATTTTTTTTAGCTCAATATTGCCACAGTTCCCGCTCCAATTATCTCAGAATTTCCTATTTGTGAAGACTGTCAAAAAGAATTTAAGGACTCTTACCTTCTGCAAACATTCGACCTCGCAGTGTGTGATTTGTGCAGGTAACATGGTACCCCTCAGTACCCTTATAACTTATGAATTAATTATTTTTGTTAATTATATACTTCAGAGACAGTCAGGACAAACACTCTCTTATCACGAAAACAGAGGCTAAGCAGGAATATCTATTGAAGGATTGTGACTTCGATAAAAGAGAGCCTCCACTTAAATATATTATACGAAAAAATCCACACAATGTGCGCTGGGGTGAAATGAAGTTATATTTACATTTACAAGTGGAAAAACGGGCGCTGGAAGTCTGGGGTTCTGAGGAAAAATTACTTAAAGAACGAGAATTGCGAGACGTTAAAAGAGAAGAAACTAAAATCAAAAAGTTTAATAAGAAGGTATATCGATTAGTGAAACTGCGTCACTAATAAATATAAATTTTTATTTAACTTTAAAAAAATATTTATCGATATGTTTAAGGTAAAAAAATTGCGAATGGAAGTTAGAAGTTCCTTATATGATAAAACACAAAAAGCGTCTCACGTTCACACATTTGGAGAAGATACCTATAACGAAGATGATGATACATATACGCATTCTTGCGTTACGTGTGGCTATGAAGAAACATATGAAAAAATGTAGACCAAAAATTGCATTTTCTGGTACCTATAAAGTTTCGTACAATCGCAGCCATAGATTATAAGGAGTTTGCATGAAGAATTCTTATATATTTTTATTTTTCTATTTAACGCATCCTGTTCGTTTCCTACACACATCAGTTTATGCATATTCTTTAATAATGTATTATCCAGTGAATATATTCTGTGAATACATTTCATTAGGTCATTAATAAAATAGCAGTATTATTTCTCAAAATGTATACATAGAGTTAATGAAAAAACATACACTTCAAGAATTATTATATAAATATTTCTTTAATTATTGTATTTCCTTTACAAAATTTGTTTTCAAGCATAATATATCTTCGTACACTGTACATTAGGCTGTGCCTTCAATCTTATCCCAGCAATAATCATTAAACATAATGATAATAGTTCAGATCATGTCTTTCTGTATATCACTAACAAGAATGTAAGATCATTAGGACATCTGTCATACGCACTTAATTATGTACCATCAGTATATAGCTTTGGGTAATTTTTAACTCAAAAATATTCAATGAAGTGTTCCTAGAATCAGCTGTTTGTATAGAGGTAGTTAATTACTCTTGGAATTTCTTAACAATTATTTATTATGTATGTATGTACAAGGCTACCATTAGATCTTTATTACAATCAGAAACTAGTTTTAGAATACAATTCGTTGCCAACGGCCTTCCACCGTGCGCTCATTCATATAAAATAAAGTATTAATTGTACAGTCTTTTATGGTAATGACATTTATGATTTCCTCAAAATGACTGCGATTCCAATGGCTCAACAGAAATTCGTTGACATATTGCACACCCGACATCAAATTTTCAAGCTTCTGACATATAAAAACTTGCGTTCCGCTTAATAGGTACTGTTTTCTCAAGTGTGTATATAAATATATACATATACACACTAATTTTATATGTTAAAAAAAATAATTAAAATAAATTGAGATGTACAGTCCTATCACGGTTTTGACAAGTTCAAGTTGTGCTCATGTTCCTATGGGAAGAGGAAGAACCAAAAAGATATTTATATCCTGAACTATCATGATATTACATTTCATTGTCACATTCTGGATGATTCTCATTCACTATTCAACTAATTTTATAATGCTTCTCCCATGCCTACATTTCACGTAAAGTCCATTGCGAATGCGAAATATCCATAAAACCTTATCTGAGCCGTCTAGTAATAAGCTGCGTTTCCATGTCTCTCAGAAAACAAGATCTTGTTTAAATATTTGTATTATTGTACTAAACAAAAAATTTAAGTTGTAACGTCCCTCCGGAGGGACAAGGAACAAACGTGTGCTCTGATGCATACGTTGATATTCTCATAAATACAGTTAAATTCTCCTCACTAGAAAGTAGCAGTGTGTACGAATGATTAACGTAATAGCTGATATATAATTGTAGATCCGTGGAAAGAATTAAGAGTGTAAGATTTTATTTTATCTACTGTATTCCCATCATTTGGACGTTGGAAGCAATTTGGATATACATTTTAAAGAGAAGGCAAGAGCAGTAATTCTTTTTCTGATACTCACTTATCGCTATATATCTCTTTCTTTCTATTATGTATTCATTTAATCATTCGCTCATTCGATCATTCACTGGCTCATTCACACTTTAGCTTTCCTGAAATTAGAACGATTGAACACAGTCATCGTGCCCATGATTAAAAAGTTATATTCTCACAAGCAGATAATTCATCTTATAACCTTCCTTCTTCGTCTTTCAATGTCATTCACACCACCATTTGTTACCATCCCATTCACCAATCTATTTTAAAAACGCAAGATCGTTTTATCTTCGACGAAAGGTGTATGACGATTGTGAATGGCTCAGGTTGTTATTTGCCTTCCATATATCTTTGGATCAGTTTAAATGGAGGCTGTCAAGTAAAACGATGCAGATATCATTCTGCCGATAAATCACAATGAGAACAACTGATCAACGTTACTTTTAGAAACGATGCTAGGACCGATGAATGGAGTCTGTGCAAAGATTTTGAAGTGCTGGTAATACACTTGGTACAGTTAATTTTTCTCCAATTTCGTACTTGGGTGAGCTCACTGGATTATTCACCGTTGTGGTTGACCTGCAAATGATAATTCATATAATTATATTTACAGCAAGATAAGACCATCGAAGATAAGTCATGAATAGTTTATGACACTGTACCTATTGTGCCGCAGATGACTCTTGACTAAGTGGCCAGCAGTAAGTGCAGCCATGAGCGATAATTCCCCAGCGAGTACTGTAGCGCAGACCACCCTGGCTAATTTGTTAGCGTTTTCACCAGGTTCTTCAGCATGAGCTCCTTTCACACCTAGCATAGCCAAACAGGCTCCTTGAGCTGGTAGTCCTGTACCACCACCAATTGTTCCAATCTCTATACTAGGCATCGTACAGGAGACGTAGAGGTCGTTACCATCCAGTCCCCAGGGTTCCATCAAAGTCATACAATTACTGCTTCCTACATTCTGAGCGGGATCTTGACCAGTTGCTATGAAGATGGCCGTGACAATGTTCGCAGCATGTGCATTGAATCCTCCGACGCTACCAGCAACAGCTGATCCGATCATATTCTTGCTAATGTTAACATCGACTAGAGCGTGAACGGAAGTCTTGAGAACGTTGGTAACAATATCAGCTGGTACAATAGCCTCGCAAACAACACTCTTGCCGCGACCTTCAATCCAATTGACAGCAGCTGGTTTCTTGTCCGTGCAGAAATTTCCACTGAGCGACAGTATCTCCATGTCCGTAAAATAAGACTGCACAGTGTGCAAAGACTTTTCCGTGCCTTTAGACAACATATTCATTCCCATAGCGTCTCCAGTCTTAGCCACAAATCTGATGAACAGATGTCTCCCCGCTATGCGCACATGTATCTTGGTCAATCTGGCGAATCTGCTGGTGAGGTCGAAGCTGTTCTTCATCTCTTCAAAATTATCAGGGTCCTGCATCCATGCCATAGCTTCACTGGCGCGTACGATGTTAGGGAAACGGACAACAGGTCCTCTAGTCATTCCGTCAGCTACTACGCGACTGGTAACACCACAGCTGAGTAAAGCTCTGCTTCCACGATTCGTCGATGCTACCAGACATCCCTCAGTGGTAGCCATCGGCACGTGTATAAGCTCACCATCCACCAGCAATGGTCCAGCTACGCCGACAGGTACAGGCACATACCCAATAACGTTTTCACAACAGGAACCCAGGACCTTACTGTAGTCGTAGTTCTTGTACGGAAGATCGGTAAGATCCTCCGTGAAACCACCGGCTGCACCAACCAACTTCCTGCGTATACCTACACCCCGTTCCAAGTCCCCTACAGCCTTTTCCAATTGGTAAGGCGGTATGTATTTATGTTCTACCAATTGGATGACCTCGCAATCAGTCAGCGCACTGGCACCCAGCTGTAAAGCATAAGGAAGCTACTATTACAATCTTCTTAAAAAACTATAAAACTTGTCTATTACCACAACGGAGGCAATCTACTGAAAGATATTTAATAATGAGAAACATATCTTACTTCAGATCGGTAAATTGAAAGACACTCCTCGACATTTCTAGGCCCAGCATTTTCGTCACATATACTTTCATAACTGGTACTGTCCATACTATAATTCCTGCCATCAGTTTGCACCTCCTTGTCCAAAAGTTCTATCTCTGCCTCGTCCCCAACTTCAACCCATTCACCGCCCATTCCTGACAACGGAAAGACAGGCGTGTGAATGGCTGGAAACGAAACGTCCAACTTCCGCCTCAAGGAGGCGTCCAGTGTCGCAGCATGCATGTTCTCAGCTGCACCTTCTTCTTGCGTCTTCTTCGCCTCGGTCCTTGGTTCCTCCTTGAATCTCAACTGCTTCGTGATCTCACCCTTGTCCTCGAAGAATATAAACTTCACCGCCAGCGCGAGTAGAAGTATCAGTATGACAATATGATCCGCGCTGACCGAGAGCCAATTCATGAGGTACTCTCTGAAGTCTGCAGGAGTCTCCGTGTCGTTGTGATGATTTATAACAATATGTGGACTGGCAGGCGATACCTTACCCTCGACAACGTTTTCACTATCACTATGCCTAAATGGCCAACGACTGAAACAATATAATTACATAATTTTAGCATTGTTAATAGACCAACCAATGAATATTACATTAGGAAAAATCGCTGATTATCAGATGCCATATGTCACATATTATTCAAAATTATCCACGCATAGATATACATTGTAAGACATTTATGAATTTTAAATAATTCTTTTTCCCCGAGTCTCTCTCACTCTCTCTTAAAATCATCCCTCCGTTACCACATCCACGTTCATCCCACTTCTTCGTGCCGTTCACTCATTACAAATTTTTGAATATGCTCACTCCTCTGGGCACGCTCCGTTTCCCATTTAAATATCTCTTGATTATTAGCTAACGCACATTGACTCTATACTATGGAGTTATTTCCACCGTTTCACGCGGCACACTAAAGGACTATTTCAGATACGCTGGACTTCAGAGTTTATAACAACGAGGATGCAAAAAAGTATATCAGAGAAGAAAAAAGCATGTGTTAGGGAAAAGTGCGCGTACGGCTTCGTCAAGGAGGAGGTCCATGTGGGATAAAGTTTTGGCACACTGTTACTTAGTCTTCTTTTTTTTTACCGATAAACTAAATAAGCATACCGATGATGGACTTAGGCGAGATAAATATTTACAATCTAGGAAGAAGACTGGTTAAACAGCCAGCTGATGTAGCTGCGTGCACGGTTTTTTCTCAGACTGAAACGCTACCTGAGGGAACGCCGTCTCCATGTCATGGGAGATACTCGGAGTACCCTCATCCACCACTCCGACGAGTTTATTTTTGGTCACTCATTTTACTATCTATGGTTCCTCGATCCTTTGTCCAAGCGATATTATTATCGTTCCTCATGCAATATTCAATAGTCCTAATATTACATTTTTTTTTTCTGTAAATGCGTATCCTTTAGCATAGATACCAAATGCCACTGATCTTTTTGACTATCGAATCCGTTCCCACGTTTTCCGGTTTCTTGGAGGCAACGAGAAAGATTCCTCTTACGTAACTGTGCCAAGCATCCACTCTTCGTTTACTTCCGCCTTGTGTAAGCACCATGCATTATGGATGAGGATGAGCGCGCGTCGTACACAGGATTTTAACAAATTACGAAACTCACTGTAAATTCGATCCCACCATGAACAGTTGCACCAAGTATACAGAGTCGAGGGTGTAACTTGTTTTTTTTTCTCTTTTTTAAATTAAACTCACGCGACAACGTTACGTACGAGTTTTTCGTTCTCGCGCATCCGTCGCATGACGTGATCGAGTGTACGAACGCCAGGAAGATTTTTAAGCCACTGACATGTATTCCGGTGAAAACGTTTCAAGCGAACGGAACAATACAGAAACGATAGAATCTTCGAAGCTGCTAACATATAGTTCATCGAATGTGAATTGTACGTAGGCCTCTGTTAAACGTGCTGCAAGGTGAACCTGACCTGTTGAATTCAGGGACAAAGGACAGGCTGACAATGAGCTTTCTGAAAAAAAGTACCACAGGTCAGATGGCAAGATAGCTCCTTGAAATCGTTACAGTCTCTTTATTGTGACTTTATAGTACAATGAAACGAGATATTATGAACGGCAAAGCGAGTGGCAAAAAAAATTTCAGCTTACTCATCTCTGATATACTCATTCACGTATTTTAACAGTGCCTGAATTTCTTATTACTCTGTATTTAGAGAGAGAGAGAGGGAGAGCAAGATTCAAGGGATACCAATATACTTAAATGTTTCCTGATCACTGCGTGCCAGGCTTCCTTATGGATTTCTAACAAATATCTTAAGGTGTCGAAGGGAGTCATAGATACCTGTGTGCATGCACTACGAATAGGCCTGCAGTCATAATCAGCTTGACCCTTTCCACCACGGGATTTGGTTTCTGATCTTCGTCGTACACCGTATGCATCATTAAGATTTTCTCAGCGCTCAAAGGTCCAGTACTACAGCCTCCCCTCGAAAGCTAAAAAGAGAAAAATTTAACCGTCAAACATCAAATTCGTTTAACTCAGGAATAATTGCGCGATTTTGTTTTGCATTTGATAAGCATTATTAATAAGTATAGTAGCCCAATGTGAAGCGACATCGATACCACCAATGGACAATACGATAAGATTGATTTACCTCGAGTATCAGTGATAAGCATGCCGGATAAAATGTCATGAAGACGATGTAATTCACAAGTACTCCAAGACAGGCATAACCGCATAGCATCTCCAGTCTGCGGACGCCTGATAACGATCCTATTCCTATGAGAAGCGTTTCCACTAAGGTGTCCAGGGTGATCGATGGTCCCAGCAAGGACATACCACGAGCTATGTTCGCTCTTACTTCTTCCTGACTTCGTGAATTCAGAGCCAGTTGTGCCAGTACAGCTGCCTTTGACAGGTCGATGAGCAAGAGGAAAAAGAAGAGAGCATCTCTGTAACATAAAGGTTTTAGGCGGATATTAACACTCTATATACTTATGCATTGACTGCTAACTGCAGTGGACAGTCAATGAGATTTTCAATTTTGAAAAATATTTCGAAAAACTTACTTCAAGTCCGAGATATCGCTCTGTCCGAAATTTACGACACTGGAAGTGAATACGAAGCTGGAGAAGACCGTGAATAAACCGGCGATTCCTGCAGAAAATAAAATAATAATTATGAACGATTGACTTTACTATTATATGATATAATATTTATATTTTATATTCTTGCAATAGACATGTGCTTTCTATGGTAGCAATTAACCGTGGATCAAAATATAAATCTTTGTCATTTTATGTGCGTTACGCTTGGGAAGATATGAAAATGGCGAATGCACAGAACTTCCGGTCTCCAATAATACTTATAAAACCAGCGCCGACTTCTATTGCTATATATTATTAGTCGAGTGAAACTTTGTTGCCGAAGTCATTGACATTAAGAACGTAGACTTAAGAAATTTGACATCGAATGATGCCAGCATTGTGAATTCATTAATATATTAAGACTCGAGGTGTAAAAGAAATCTTGACGAAAAAAGAGTGACTATCCTACACCTACAAAAATATATATGTTCCCAGGCAGCAGGCACAATGTATCCTTGGTGTCTGTTACTAAATGCATATTTATAGTACGACAGGAACCGGATGTAAGTATTGAAACTGCTTTTGCGTCACTGGCACGAAATATTAAAAATACTAATACTAATAAACAATCTCTAAATGATAGTACGTCCGATTAAAACGAGCATTCTAAATAGTTGGTTAATTCTAGACGCGCAAGGGCATCACGTGCGTCTAATGGCCTCCAATGAAATGCTATCGCTTTCCTCGAAACTTTCACTGAAGTCGGCGAAGGCTTTCGCGTTGTAACATCGTGGAGAGAGCCGGTTTTGTCATTGACCAGGCACAAGACCGCATCGGTGTAAGAGCTTAAGTGACCTCCGTGAGGTCGCAGCTCTTACAGAATTATCAGATTGTGAGGTTGATAGGTTCTAGTATGTGAAATGGCCATCTGATAATAATTCCTGTATCTCGTAGACGTACCTGATAGATTGAAATATATTTTAATTAGATATATAGATAGCAGTGGCACTCACTCACCCAGTATATACTTGGAACCCAGCTTGTGAAGCTTGCAAAATTGATAATAGCTGTAGAGCACCGCAACGCATCTTATCATAGTCATTACAATGACGTCCGCGACATTTGGATCCTAATAAATAAAAGAATAATGTAATTCACAGATATACATTTCACATGATATCGACAAAAAGAATTAATATTAACCTATCTTTTGACGTTACTGTATATGAATTCTATTTCCGTATAATATATTACGTTTCTTATGTATTCCCGGAAAAGCTATGCACACGAAGCCAATATGTTAATGGGAGGTGATCAACTTTAAACAAACGTTCGTCGAAGACGCATAAATCCAAAAAGAATTTAAAAAACAAGTTACACGATAACGCTGTATAATTTCAAACACAATTTCCGTCACATCGTTTCGCATCCATGACTTTGAACTCACGTCAGAATTGCAACGACCGTGCCAGCAATGCGTTGGGACCACTGGGAGACTTGGTGATTTTGCACTTCCGGTTTCCAAATTTAGGATGCATGCAGTCAAAGCAAAGGTCGTGACGATAACTTCGAGCGGATGACCGGCGCAGAACCGGCCATGAATTTCGAACCATTTAGCAAGCATGTTCGCCACGTGTTTCTCCACCTGAAGACAGTGCCGGAAGTCTCTGAAACACGAAGAAGAAAAATCACATTGATTTTACCTTGATTAAAAAATACATTAGTACAGCGTCGATTAACATTAATCAAATACCATGTTACAAGGTTATAATATTAAAGAATCTAATAATAAAATAAAATATATCTTTAAACTAATGATAGGTCTGCTACGTCTACGAATTGTCCCTACGCTCAAAAAGTAACTCTGCTAAGGAGCATCGAAATGTCTGTCAAGGTCGTCGACTTTCCCAGAGTCTCCGGCCGATCTCCCCTTAGGAATTTACATGCTGGTATTCAAGCGATAATAGATTATGTCCCACCTTAAGATACATGATGAACCATGCGTACAGGGCTTAAGGATTATACAGCCAAGATATATCTAACGAAACGTTAATAAAGAATTTTTATAATATTCAATTGACCAACGAAGCATAGCAGGCTTACAGAATCGATTCGTTACGTCAGTGCCTAAATTGCTGGACTACAGATTAGTCCCATCACGATTCTATAATGGGAATGCTCAAAAGTTACCAGGGACGATTAACGTTCCATAGACTCAAAAACAGATCATGAAAGTAAGAATTATGATTTTGCTAATAATAGAACTGACGTCAACAATACCTAGAGTATAGGAAACGATTCCACCTGCTTGGTCTGCAGGATAATAAATATTAACTGAGAATTTTCGAAAAACTGGCACAAACGGACGTTTCATTATCCGTTGTCTCATTTCACAAGTTCACTTAAGACTAGCTTAGGAAAAGACCCGAGGCTTTTTCATTATCTCTATAAAATTATATTGAACGGTCGTAGGTCAAGCAATAACAATAGAGCGACTCTGACGTATCGTTATGCACTAAAATTTACCCTAAATATCAATTCGACGAATACACTGGGATTTTACGTCCGTAAAACAGTACGCAGAAATAAATACAGATGCTTATATTTGTAATCACGTAAGCGCGTATGACTACTAAGAACATCCCTCCCCCACCGTGTATCTCCTGCGCTGCCATAAATACATTGTGACATATTGGGCAGATGACAAACTCGTGGACTCCCTAATCATATAGCTGTGCATCTTTTACATAGACAAAGAAAATTCGCAAGATACAATGATTTAGAAAAAAAAGTTACTTGTATATGACTGACAAAAATGCACTTGGCTAATTAATACAAATTTAATATCCAAGTGGACGATGCACTTATCAAGAGAATTGCACGTAGCCAACTATAAGTAATCGTCGCGACAGACCTCGTTTACAATGCAGCGACAACGCCAGATGGCGAGCAAGCATATTTCATCGTTACAGTGAATCAGTGTCAAGCGATAATTTCATTCATGGGAGATGTGAATGATCCCTGAAGGTAAACCGAGGGAATTGATACTGGCCAATGAGAGTGTATCATCTGAAACCTTGACAAGTGTACAAATTAAATTGAGAGTGATACAAGATTCTAATTCTAATATTCGAGGAAAACAAACTATTTAGCTGGATCCTTGAGTTTGATATAAGTAATAATTAATACCATTGACTAAGCTTTTACATTTGTATGGATATATCTGGATGTTGTAATTAAGTCATTAGGTTGTTGAAATTCCTAAATTGCTTAGAAATGCAGGTATGCCAGTTGATCCTTGAAATATTTTGGAAAACTATACAGTTAACGGTACTAAATAACTGTGCTAGATAATGCGTGACTGTAACTCGATACGATTAAACCGGTTGGTAATAACGAATAAGAATGTACATAGTATTGCTTATAGTGCATAACAACTTGTCGATGTACTAATTGTCGTAGTAAATGAACAGAGTAAGTTGACTAACAGTGGCGAATTTAATGACCGCTATAATAATACTTTTTACGGTCATCGAACACATGACTATGCGAAATAGCACTGTTCCTCTCGCTTTCTATACTTTCGTTTTTTTTTCCCTTTTCACGGCGATACGTCGCTAAACCGGTACTTTCTGTTATACAGGTTCATCCAAATGGACCAGACAGATTTGACAGCTACGGTGCAAGTACTTTGATTATAAAATTATGCTCATTGAGATTAAACAATTGAACCACTAGTTGATCAAGTCACTGACAACAATTATTAAGAATCTTTATGCACTTGATTGTACAATAAAATCAATTGTTGTTAAACCATCTACTAGTATGCTTAGAGCGAAGGACCCTGTACCTATTTAAAATACCAAAGACAATCTTTCGAACCGATTCGCAGAAGCGTTTGCCATTAATAAACATAAAACAAAATTGGCGAAGAAATACACGTGGAAAGTGTCGCGTACGCCATTCATTATTTATACGAAAGTCTGCGCGTTTGGAAAGCTACGCCTGTTAGAAGATACTGTTACAATTGAACAAGTTACACGATGTCGTCAACAGAGACATAGGTAAATAGCGTGTAAAACATAAAATAAAAAAAGTATGTTATTAAGAGCAAAAAGATTTTCCCTACAAGTCGCAATTCAATTATACCCTTAACAAAGATTACGCATTGCAAGATCAGCCTTCGAAATATCATAAGACTAAAGACTGCCTTAGAGTGATAAAAGATGACGCTGACATAACAAATTCCATAAACAAAACACAGGCTCGAAATATGATAATAAACGTACACGTGAGATTGGAGCAATAAGAAATTCAAGCAATGCAATCTACACGTTACTTCTTTGATAAAATTGACTGACCATAAACTATCAAGATCAAAAGACAGTAACACGACTTTACTCCATCTCATTTGTCGTTTACATATAACTTCCCAAATACAGTCAACGAGCCCTGAGATCAGTGTCACATTCAGGGGATTCTTTTACATTGTAATCCGTAAGAATATGGCCCCTTCAAGATGCAACATCGAGCCCACAACTCCAAATTTATTATCTAAGACACACTACTGTCACTACGTATCCCTTGCACGTTAATGATTAACTTACAGTATCCACGAATTTAAATATTACTCCACGTTCTAGATATATATCTCGTACATGATATCCCGATGCGTGATGTTCACTAATTTTCAAAGTACCCGACCCAGCCGATTCGCTTTTACTGGTAAAAGTTAAACGCGTGTACCATGTGAGAGGTACGTGTACTCCGGATCAGGAATGACAGCAGCCCGAAGGTACGCCTCGTACGCTGGCAACGTGCCTACTGCCCGTCGATGGAGTGTGCTTCGTGGACACCGAAACCAGCACGAAGAATGGTAGTCGAAGCAGATATAGTTGGGGTTCTCTTATTCGCACAATCACGAATTTGGGCCTAGTGGATGATCTTGATGACGTGAAGAATTACATAGAAACTGCTAACCCATGTTTAGATGGCCGCAGCGATCTGAGAAATGACAAATAAATACGGAATCTGTAGATGATAACTTATATGTATATTTTTCCTATATTGACATAGAAAAATTGATATCTATGATGAACATTTTTTATGACAATTTTTATCTAGTCACTGATGACAATGTAGATCATTATTTCTTCTATCGTGATACTGTCAGTGTTGTAAGGGTCGAAGACTTTGCGAAAGATTACTGTTATTTATCTTTTTTCTTCTATTTTTTCTTTGTCTCGTTAAGACACTACTAGAAAGGTAGGTATGGAAAATACTTGTTGCATGACAATCTGTGTCAAGTTGTATGAAATACTAATATATGCACATATGCAAGGTAGCTTAAGTGCATGCTGAAGTAAACGATTAAGAAACAAGGAATAGTTATGTGTAAAGATCAATTTTATAAAAAGCGATCAATAAAATTATAAAAATACATTATTCATTGAACTATTCAGGGTAAGATTCAACTTCATTAAATATTTCTGAGCACGTACAGTAACGATGATTGTTTTTTAAGGAGACTGTGATCTCTATCAATGAATCGTTAAATAAATGTAGGTTACATATTAAGATGCGATTTATGAAATTACATAATTTTAATTATGCAGTGATAAAGAACAGTGAAAAACAACTGTATCAAAAACTATTCATTATCGCTCCTCCGATAAGATCGTCGATGCTCTGCAATCATTAAGTTACGAGAAATGCGTTTTTAATGGCAATACAATGGGAGCAGAAATCCTTGTATAGTTCTCGATGTCAAATACCAAAATTATACTAGTTCCAATGATTTCCTGAAAAGTTATTGTAACCTGATTTTCTTCTAACTAAGAAGAGCTATTAATAATAGACCTTTATGGATATGCTATAATCAGGATTCTCTATATCACATCCAGAATGACATAATCCTTTTTCAACTGAAAAAAGAGCAAGGAATTGTCTGCATTAATCTAAGAAGCCTGATGAGGGATAAAAAATGAAGAAAAAGATTAATAACGTTAGACGCGTATCCTCACGTGTATAGTACGTTTCAGAAACCGCAACCGCAACTCACCTCTTATACCCAACAGTATATATGTATACATATTATATAAATACTGGGTGTGTTGTTATTCCTGATTAATCTCTTTACATAAATATTCGTAATTCCATGGAAATAAAAGAAGGAACATATCACGGCAGAAATTTCTTTTCAATCTAAAAAAAAAACGTAGGTATTACAAATCTATAGAAGTTTCAATGACACCTATGATCGTTCTAATTAATTTTCAATGATGAGAATATCCGTACAGGTTGTTCATTCTGAATTCACTTTGAGGTACCACGTGATATCGAGCCACTTTCGTAAAACGAAAATGAAATCGTCCACCGCGAAGAGAAATCTTGTACGAGGCCATGCTCCTTCGTTCATGTAACCCATCCGCACTTATGCTAGCTGAACCCCCAAAAGGCCTCTTGCATAAATCCAAGCTGGACTACGTGTATAAAGTCAGTGATTATTCCATCTAATAAAAATAATAAGCAGACTATGAGACTGTGAGTTTTTAAAAATAATATGAAGCCTAAAAGAATATATTTAACAAGGTAGCTAAGAATGCCGTAGTCAAGAAGACTCACGCAATTCCAGTCACCGGTCGTAGAAACGGTATGCGGAATACCAAAAGTCATGGGAATCTGACATTCACGTGTGGAGATCGTATGAATAAATTGTATATTCGCAAAGAAGCGCTTCCTCCAGATTCATCGGGTGTCTTAAACCTTGAGAAGATATTTATCGTCATACGTTCGCCGATTACCGAAATAACATAACCTTTTTGAAGAACTGAGATCGTGTAGCAGCACAAAGAAGTGTCATTACGAAAAGAAGCTTTCGTTCTACAAGAAATAAAACAAATATTGCATATGATTATTTTCTTCCTTGTTCATGAATATTCTACAGTTTCTATAGTAACAGAGACATGAGCTTAATATTTTATTAATACGATACGTAGGCGTCGTGCTTCTTCCTGGAAGGAGAAGATTGCTGAATTTTCGTTATACTTAACTGTCGCCATTTTTCGATTATCAATTAAAATCATGATCGATTTAATAGTTCGCGCGAATCGCTGATGATACATATCGCCACTAATGAAAACTCGATTTAATGTGCGACGCGCGACGTTCGCATTGTCGCTGACGTTCTACCGTTTCTCTTAATGAACACGCGCGGAATACTTATTGAATCTTTCAAACCAAACAGAATGGTTGTTCGTTGACTAGTAAGAAGAATTATTTTGAAAAATTCCTAACGGAATTTCCGCATGACGACTATGACGATTATGACAACTATGAGTTTATGTTAATGGACCTTAGCAGAAATCACTTCGTATTCACATGACGCAATTTGCACTATATTTGAGTGTACATACAGGAGCATATTTGGACACTTTTTTTCTGAGAAAAAAATACCAAGGAAACACATTCGATGAACGAACGTGCTCTGTGTACGCTTCTAGTTACGCTAACAGGCCTTTGTGAATAAAATTGGGAACTGTTTGGCGACGCACAGAAATAGCGAATTGACGTAACTGAATGGGACAATAAGAGGACTGCAAAAATGTACAGATAATTCTTTTGTGCGAAACGAGACAAGAGGATTTATTTTCATTCAATCCATGCTCCGACTATATTGCGTGTTGGGCTACATGTTGGCACAGATTCGAGTAATTGAAGTTTATATATTATATTAGTAGCGTCAAGACCCTGAAAATTCTATTGCGTTAAATGATTTGGAACTAGATTTTATAAATTCGCTCGCAAGGCCACTAACCTTGACCGTCTTCATCACGAGATTTGAGTTATGTGATTTACTTATTATAATGGAGAATTATTATATTTAAAAAAGTACATTATGATTGGACTGTAAATATGTCCTTGGATTTACAAGGTTTGTATACTGTCACTCTCAATGTGCAATTTTGGTAGGTGATATAGTAATTTATATAATATACGAACACTGTTCATGATGACTGACAACTCTTACGTCCATCTGAAATATTTTGTCATTCAACCACTTGATGTAATAATTACAAAAAAATATGAAGTTTTTTGCTGATGCAATTCTAGCACAATTTTAATACTTCTTTAAACTGTTCCTCACGTGCGTGTGATTTTTTAAACATAATCTATCCTAGTCTGGAACTTATATGAAAGCTAGACAAATTTGTATAAAATCTTATGACACACTAACGCGATACAGGCGTAAGACACTAAATTTTTATTAGTTTTAAACGATTATATCATGTTAATGTGTAATTCATTTAGCCATTCTAAGTGTATAGAACACAATTCCAGAGCCAGTGTGCGCCTGTACAGTGAAGGCTTTTTAAAAATATCATTGACACTTAGCTAAAAAAATTCGTCGAAATCATTATTCTTGAATTTTGCCGAAAAATTTTTAGGAGACTCGTCTTGTAAGCACGTCCCAGGAAACGAATTCATGTTAACCAAGCATAACCTTAAAATTTGTACAAGTATGATTCAGAGACTTACCATTACTAAGAGTGAACTTTGTTAATAACTTAATCACAATTATTACATCATCTTAACGTGGTACACTTTAAAAAAATATCTTCTTCCTCAAAAATTGAAGCTCGTCACTCCCGTAGTCTCACGTTGACGACACGATTATTCAATCACAGCAGTGACATCTTGCGTAATCTGCATGAAGCAGAAATGCAAAGGATTTGAATGTGATGCACTTGTTTTATTTAAAATTTTTAAATATAGTGTATAGTAATATATACATGTACGTACTAGATTTATTTTTCCTCCAATCAATCAAAATATTTTAACACATTGCACGTTTCCAGTAACAATAAGAATGATTCATTTCTGTCTTTCATCACACATATGACACAAAAAAGATTATGTGCACAATATTTTAAATACAGATACATCAAGTAGTAGAGCAGTACTAGAAGAGAATTATAGATTCAGTTGTGAGCATTACTTGGTTTTTGGACTTCACTCGAATGCCTTGCATGATTCATCATAGATTCAACTCTGTTTGCAGTTTCTCTAACAACATCCGATATCTCATCAGGGAGATGGTCAAGCGTAGGAATGTGAGCTGAAAGTCTCTTGTACACTGAATCTTTATTTCCATCTTTTTTATGTCTCCTTTGCTCCTCGTACTTTAACTGTTGCTTGAAGAATATTGCATTCTTTATGAACTCCAAAGTATTATCAAAACTTTTTGCAGCACCTTCCATTGTCTTTACTGCACTCACAGCATATTCAACATCGTAACAGCGACCTTGGAGCTGCTGCCTCAGAGCAAGGACTTCAACACGTTTCTCAACCATAGGCGGTAAAGCTTTCCTAACGTGTTCTTGCAAACGATAAAATGCGAGTGACGGTTCGTTGGCCACTATATGCATATTCTCTGATATTCGCTCTGTAGCTGAAAACAAAGGAAAATGTTAAAATTGTTTAAAGTATACAAATATCTTTCCACTTGCAACTAACCTTTTTTAACCTTTGTTTCGAGTTCTTGATCAGGTTGATAGATTTTTGCAGCCATCATAAACTCAGTATGATGTTACGATCGTTAATGACAAGAAACCCCAAAAAGTCTAATTATTATTACAGAAAGTGTGTGAAAATGACGAGACAATACGTCTGACACAATGTTGTTTACTAATTACTCTTTCGGTAAAAATTGTAAAATGCAGTAGAGATCACAACCATAAGAAAACTTTAGCACGGACAACAACCAAAAGCAGTATACAAGTTAATAAAGTTCTATATTACAAATATTGTTACAATTATCTTTTATATCCGAGATAAAATTATTTCTTTTAAGAGTATAACAACGTTAGTAACATTGTTTAATGCGGAACAATGTAAATTATTATCTTTTGTTTTGTTTCAACGCCAAAGGAAAATATATAATTTTGCATTTCGTAGACTAAAGATTCTTCTTGATATAGAGTAATGTACTTAATATACATTCGAACCATGCAAACCTTATTTTTTTTCTTCTTCATAACGTGAATAAAAATTCATATTCTCACGTTGTCGGAAGCGGAAGTCAGGCATGGTGTTGTGTTGTGTGTCGTGATGTTTTTGGGCATTGCTACGGCGTCGAAACGTGGCAGTAAATGCGGCGCTGTTGGCAGTTTCCTTAAGTTCATCTATTCAACGATCTTCCAGCTTACTAGTTGTCTTTGCGTTTACGTCCTTTCAGGTTACTGTACTTAGAGCAGGTGAGTGTTCACCATATTTTCCACAGATTTTGAGTAATTTGTAACTGAAAGCTTAAACCCATCCGCAAGTACAAGAGTTAATAATTATTTCTGAACCTTTTCGTATAATAGAATTCATACATAAGACAATATTTCATTTCGGAGCGCCTTCTCTGGATACATTGATTTCTAACATATGACTTCAATCTTCCGTTTATCATAAATGACAGCTTATATTATTCTATATTTTTCATTTTGAATCATTAAAAAATGCCTTAGTGTATATTTGATGTTGTTATATTTTATTCTTAAGGATTACTCATTTTAATATTTCTTTTTGCAGAATGAACTACCACTTCCTTTTGGCAGCTGTAGCTGCTCTGCTGGTCAGCACTTGTGCCGACGACGAATATGAAGCTGCACGTCTACTAGTATCTAAACAGATCCTTAACAAATATCTTGTAGAAAATATGGATATTGTTGTAAAGGTACTCCATTCATTTATGTTTAACTTTTTAAATGATATTGAACATAATAAAAAGTACATATGCACAGTTCTAATCACAATTTTTTTTTACAGTATACAGTTTACAATATTGGTAATGCAGCAGCACTCGAAGTTGAAATAACTGATAACTCCTTCCATCCTGATAATTTTGCTCACGTTAGTGGAGAACTCAATGCTAGAATTGATCGTGTCCCACCATACACAAACGTCAGTCACGTAGTTGTCGTAAGGCCACGCAAATTTGGTTACTTCAACTTTACCGCTGCTGAAGTTCTATATCGTCATAAGGAAGATGCCCCGAGGTTGCAAGTTGCAGTAAGCAGTGAACCTGGTGAAGGCTTGGTCGTATCCTTCCGTGATTACGATAAAAAGTTCTCATCCCATGTTGTAAGTAATCTTTACTTTAAAAATAATGATATATAATCCCTATCAATTTGGTCCTTGCTCTAACTCCATAATCTTCTTGCAGATTGACTGGGCAGCATTTGCAGTTATGACTCTGCCGTCCCTAGCAATCCCATTCGCGTTATGGTACTCGAGTAAAAGAAAGTATGAAAAACTATCAAAGAACTCTAAGAAGCACTGAAGAGATTTAGGAAAAGTTAAAAATTATCACACATACATACACGATCTACAACATCTCTAGATCGTTAACAACAAATTATTTTCTCTTGCATGACTGTGAGATCGCGTGACTGTTTCATTACACATGCCGAATTTTTGTAATAAATATTATTTATGAATAACTACCAATTGATTGAACGTTAATACTCCTGTCATACTCCTAATCAAATATACATATCATTCATTTTCACGCACGCAACAGCTTAGCTAATTGTTATTCGTAAGACTCGGATTAAGAACGTTGACGATTTCTGTTAATTTTTATTAAACAATGTACAAAGAAGAATATACTCTTTATTTACCTGAGTCCAACGAACTGACATATTTACTAAATAACATCGTACCACATGACAATTATGTATGAAAATTTCACAACCGCACATTATCGCCTTTTTTTGTGTGTTCCAATTAACGTTCAGTTGCTTACTAAGTCATATTTTTAATTTTTAAGTACTATGAACACATGGCGTAGCTGCTTACCACATAAACTTTACTGTTTCCCATCGGCAAGGTATAACAAACTTAAGACCGAACATGTTTTTCAACTTTTAAGGAAGCACGAATAATAATTCACATACATCCACATATACATCTCATTCTTTGTTTCCATTAATTATTGCAATATTACAAAATTGCACAAAAAACTTGAAGGTAAAGCGATAATCGTAATCCGCTCACTTACAAATTGTGATGCATAAAATGTAATAATCATTGCGTAAAGAAAGGATCTAAGAATGTTCAGTAAATAAAATAATAATGATACATCACAACCAAAAATGACTTTTTTCTTTATTACTTATCCTTCATTATTGGCACTTCGAATTTCCGATTAAGAAATTCGAACGGAAGTGTGTCGAGCCAATACTTACATAGAAAGCTCGAAAGTTATCTTTTCTGTTTTATAAATAAACAAGAATATTAAAAAATAATTGTGTTGAACATGTCGCAAGGAAGAACACATAATCTTTATGAATAATAGGCAGAAAAGGAAATTATGATAAGTACGGAAGACTATTGATCGAGCTTTCAAAGTATTGTGAAAAACAAGGATTTATCGCAACTGCGATTTCCTTTAAAAGTCAAATTTGATAATATTGAATTTTCGTAATGTCAATTTAATATTTGCATTTAATAACTATCTTAAATATTAGTCTTATACTACCATCTCTATAAGATGTCTTCGCAATACTCATACATTGTACCAGTAGATTAATGAAGTGTGTATTCAAATTTAAAAAAAACATATTGAATAAAACTAAGTCCAAAATAAATCTCAGTACCCGCAGTTAATAACTTGCCAGTTTAATCTACTATACTGTACTGCGTACTGCGATAAATTTTGTCTCCGCATAAAATATCGCGAGTGGTATCATATTGTCTCAGTTACTCAATGCCTATTGTGAGTATCTAGACTTTTAATTCTGCTCAATTATTATCACTAACAATTTACAATCAACTATTCAGACTGACTGGTCCGCAATTTACAAACATGCAGAATTAAGAGTCTGTACCTTAGCATAACATTTAAATGAAAGACTTTCACGCTTAATGATACAAGATAATTAACACTGTCAATTAGATAATTGTTGGCAAAATTCGTATAATAATTACATTTATATATACAGAAGTATATCAAGTACTTAAAGATAATGAAAAATGTAAGGACACCCTCCGAGGCAAATTAAATGATACGTTGGCTCTCTCTGATGATATAAGGATTCAAAAGAAAAAAACTGATATAGATAAAACTGTCTAAGAAATTATACAAGAAGGTACTGAAAGTAGGGTAATTAAGTTTTATAAAGTGAAGTGAATTGTTTAGGCCGTGAAGCTTAATCATGATACGTGAACACACGTACTTCTTCAAGATGTTACATGAATTCATTTCGCGATAGAAGAATTTACTGATTCAAAGGCACAATAAGGTCTTTCATCGATTTGGAAGTGGATTATAAACGGGTCATCGACTTTGCTAGTTCATAGTTAACTGCAAGTAACTAGCTGACCACACGCAGGGCTTAATCATTGAGAGAATGAATATTACAAAAATGAAAGTTATGTTATGCAGATAAACAAGATTTCTTTAATAATAGTAATTTACCGCGATTATTTACATTCGAATCTAACTGACTTGTCTCGTTAAACGGGTGATGAACGTTAACAGCTTCCTGTCAGTCATCTCTATTAAACAAACGTTAAAAAACGGATACATTCTTATTAACAAAACCAGTCATTTAGTTACACCGTTTCAGTTTCTCACTCAACAATGTTGGTCGATGTTCAAATTGATGCAATTCTCTTTATCCTCATCAACTTGTGCAGCTGCCTCACAATATCGTTCTTAAGGATATAAACTGTTCTGTCCTTATACCTCGCACTAAAATTGTGCGAATACAATAAATATAATAGTTGTGGCGTTTCAAACATTGACAACCTCTAAGCTTGAGGAAGAATGGTAACGTGTTCTTAGTCTTAAACCGCATGTATCCTCATTCATTAATGGTCTTAACTACGTCTCTAAATCTCATGTTTCATACGTCAGATTCCTTAAGTATTACAATTAACGTTATATTATTATACAATGATCTTACCAATGACGGGAATCCAAAAGGATGCACGGCTGATGCTTTCAGCAAACCATGTTGTTCGTTCAAGATAATATAAACTTCGTTAGTTGTCCAATATCATACACGGGTTTCGTTGTGGAGAACGAGAAAAAGAAGAAAATATATTCCACAAGGACACAAGAGGAACACAGCCTTCCCACGAACATATTCTTCGACTGTATATCAGTCTTGTCCAAGCAATTTTCAACTGTGAATCATTACGGACTGTGTAAAGTTCTATTCCGTCTGGCAGTCGGCGTGTAAAAGCCACGTGGATCGCCATAAACAGGCTCGAACGCTGAGAAAGGCCTTAAGGATGAATTTGGACTTCGTGAATTTGGCGTACTCGTTGCATTGTTAACAGTAGGAGAGCACGTTACGTTTGCGTTCTTTATTGGCGGGGGACATGTGTCAGCTGTAAGATGAGACGGAAGAAATTAATAAAAAAGACCAAAATAAATGGGAAATTTTGCATAATCCTTATACCCTTACCAAATACAGTTTTATTCCTTACGGGGATGCACGTCACTTTGTGTTTGAATACTGTAAAATAAAAAGTAAATATATATATAAATATCATTAATTATATGAAAAATTAAATACTTACTGAAGAAGAACGTCACAACAAGAACCACAAGAGGCGCTAAGGTGTACCGATAATAATACATATAGTCCAGCCAGTGAATTCCAGATATTGGAACAAATTGGTCGTATTTGGAAATTCGTATTAAAAGCTAAAACGATTCAATATCCACAATTATTTTCTATGTGATACTTTAATATCTCAGCCAACAATGAAAACAGTTAAGTTACTCACAGGAACACTTTGGTTCGTCAATTCATTCGTCACTATAACTTTCTGACCCTGCATTTCCTCACGGTTCTGTAACAATCTTATCTTGTACTGTATTAAATGCTTTGAAACAAATTGAGGCCCACTTACGGTCAAGCCCTCAGGAGCGTTCATCTACAAAGACAAAATAGAATAAAATAAAATCCATACATTCTCAATTTAAATGATCAAAGTAATTCTAATTAATTAAACTTACCGTAACACGATTCAGTACAGTTTTCAAACCATATATATCGATAGTAGCAGTCGATAATGTATTAGAAGAAGATAAAACAAAGACAATTTCTTTCTTGGTAACATACATCGGTGGAAGATACACTACTTCCACTGGTGTACCTTCGATGTCATTACTCTGTGCATTTATCAACACCGATGTCTCCATTGTACTCAATGCGATGCTTAATGGACCCATCGACATAACATCACAATAATAAAAACCTGTTAATTCATATGTATATTAAAGTCCCTATTTTATTTTTAATTTAGATGTATTTTATTGGCATAAAAATTCGTATACTAACCAGTCACAATATCGAATCGTGGTTTAACGAGGAACAGGTCGTTTATAGCAATGGTTGAAACTGGAGAAACGAATTGAATGTTGCAAGTAAATGGAAACGAGGTTACCGCGAAAGAGGATTGTCTACGACATCCACCTAAGCCCCGTGATAAGACATTGTTCTCTTTTATTTTCTCATCTTTACTCTTCAGTACTAAAGGTAGACTAAACACTTCCATGCCGGTAATATTTTTTCCTCTTAGTGGCACAAGTGATATCTGTTACGTGTAAAGAAATAAAATAATAAAGATTGGAACGATATAAGAAAAGTAAAATCATTGTCTAAACCATACCTTGGCAATTGGCTTTATAGTAACTTCAATGTCTCCTTGTATCGGAGTGGCAAGACTATGCTTTACAATAGCATGTCCTGGACTGCGTGCTCTACCAATTCCTGTGAGAGGATCTACCGTCAAGTTGTCTGGAGCAGATGATTGCCAATACCCAGGATCACCATCGGATGACAATAGTGGCATGGAAAAGCATACGATATCACCCACTGTCAGGGTAGTCTGCCATAAACAAAGTAAAAAAATATTAAGAAACAATTAAAAAATATTAATAATGCATAAGTCGGGACTTTAAAATGTTTTTTACCTTTATCGGAAATAATATGTCTCCAATCGCCATGTGAACATAATCAAACATTCCATTGGGATATTTTTCATCGTATACCTTAGCAACCAATTCGCCATTCTTAAGAAACTTCGTAGCAATCACATTACCTTTTCCAGGTGCAAAGGAAACCAAATCGCCTCTATTGGCTGTGACTTGAAACTTGGTCTCAGCTGAATGGAATTTCGAGCCGACACTATCATAATATTGTAATTCATAATCCAATTCCATACCATTGGGTAACATATTCAATTCCTCACCACTGCGTATACGCACATTTGATTTGAGGGACAACATAACATAGTGCACAGGTTTTACCTTAAAGAAAAAAACGTGATTACATATGCAGTAGTCAAAAAAATTAATAATCGAGACTTTGCAGATACTTACGTCAACAATAATTGTTAAAGTTTGCTTAAAACTGTAACCCTCTACGCTTGATATGGAAATTACTGTTCGGCCAAAATGATCTCCTGCCCTGATCACCCCATTTTTATCAACGCTTATAGCTTTACTTCCGGTAGTCAATGCATTCAATTCCTCGGATTCATTCGACTGGCCGCTGGACAAAATTTTGTACGACGTGACTCCACGCTTGTCGCGATTCGTTTCCAATTTCAAGATAGAATTCGCTGCCATTAAAATGATAGATACTCCTGGTGCAGCTACAGGATTTGTCAGATATAATTCTTCGAAAATTTCAATCTTGACGAACGTCGTGAAAGTCACATCCTTCTTGTAACCGGGTAAGGTCTTCGATGGCGCAGTCACGTTCAAGTAAACTGTCACTGTTCCTGGTCTTATCGCTTTGGCATGTAAAGTTACTTCATTCTGGTATCTCACATTGATACCAGTACCTTCGTACATATTATGTAGACTCAATGAATTTGAATCGCTTGACATCCATATAAATCTCAAAGGTTTTCGCAGTGAACCAATAATCAATGGCGTCAAGTGTTCCGGCAGACCAAATGCCCAAAGAGGAATAACAGCACCAGCTTTAACCCTACTTGTAGGAGTAACAATTTTAATTCCTTCAAGTATGATAACGTGAACTTCTGCATGATCTTGGGAGTACAGAACCCTAGTACCTTTTGCACTTAAACCGACAGCCCTTGCAATGACTTTTGTTTTTCCCATTGCCATCCCTTCGAGGACCCCAGTACGATCAATACTAAGGACATCATCATTTTCTGCGGTAAATTCAACCTCTGCATTGGTAGGACCTCCCTCAGTTTTAATCTGATAAGGTGTACCAATCAGTACAGTTAAATTACGCGGTGTCACTCTCAATGGTAAAAATACTTGAACAATACATGGATCACTTTCGATTTCTTGATCACCTTCACCACTAACGAATATCAACTGAGAATCCCCTTCTTCAATTCCATGAATAACGTAGAGTATTTGTTCATAAGGTAATTTGCCTTGTTCATTGATTGGCAATCGTTTCACTTCAATATATCCATTCTCAGTTTCTGCTCTTATATTAAGTGCATCGATAGATGGCAATTGTATAAGCTGTCCATTAGTGTCAAAAAGTTTGACAGCAGCTACGATGCACTTTCCCTTCTCAACTTTATTCACAGTTTCCACTTCAATTCCTCCGAGTTGCTGCACTTCGATTGTAGCTTGAGCTGGACCAGAATCGATGCACAGATCAACCAGGGCTATTTGTAGTACTCCAGATTTTTTTGGTGTTACACTGATAGATTTTGTCGGCTCTATGTATCGTACATCAGCTATGTCATCAGTGCTTAATAGAAATTCATAGTAACCAGAACCCTGACTGACTTGCAGGAAATACTTTCCATTAGGATCATTTAGTACCTTCAACGTGCTCGGAGTAATGGTGGTATCGTTAACCAGAATAACATTCACAGAAGCTTCTATCATAGGTGTATCAACTATTCCCCTTTCATTTTCAGTAGGAAATACTGGCCATTCTGGAGTGATACCCAATTTGTTCAGAATGTTTTTCTGGTATCCTATGACTGACGCTGACACAGTCAAACTTCCAGTATGTTTCTTAGGTATGATACGTTGATAGTGCCTTTTTGGAAATTCCACATTCATATCCGTAATAGTTTCCTCCTTCGACCCGATTGGAGCATCAAGAATACCTACTCCAGTAGGTGTCAATTCCCACTCTATATGTAAACTAGAAATGTTATCAAAACGCCGACCATCTTCGTCCTTTATCACAACAGTAAGATCCAAGTCATTGTTATTTCGCGCCATAATCTTCTCGGAGACCTGTCCAATAGGACAGCTACTACTGTTACTGAACTTAGGTTGTAGATAAATGTATCTTGGCTTTCCACAAATCACACGAACTTTAGCAACTGCTTCGGTTTTCTGACAATTTGGTAAGAGCGGCAAGTTTGACACTGTGTAAATGAAGTTGGCTTCACCAAGAGCTTTACAGGTGACTTCAAAAAGTGCCACATCAGAAAATCCACTGGTAGAATATGCGTATTCGTGAGATTCTATGACCATGTTATCAGAGACTCGTGCTTCTCTCGAATATCCTTGCGGCTTAATGGACCATGGATGCGGTCCACCTTTGAAAAGAATTTTTCTTGATGATCCGACAGTTAGCAGAGTTTCCATGCTTGCTGGATGTAAGGCTGTGAGTGGCTCGTAAGCTGATACTGTTATATTGTCAATTAAGTATAGTCCATTTACTTTATAAGCTACGGATATACTGGAAGTTCCAACGTCTAATCCCATGACTGCTATGGTCGTACAAGCAATGCCTACTGGTTGTACAGTTTCATTTTCATAAACTTGTTTAAAGTTCTCATCTGGTATGTCAACTTCAAAAGGTACGTCCTTACAATCGTTAAACGGCATAACTATTACGTCTGTGCCATCGCTTAATTCTCCGTACAAAGCAATGTGCAAGTATATCGGCTCGCCAACTGCAGCTTCCATGTTGTACCGAACAATTTCTAATTTGCAGGGTGGTAAAACATGAACTTTTGTTGTATCTTTGTTATACTGATTTCGTGCCATGGAGACAGATATATCTGTAGTTCCCTTTTGCAAAATCCTTACAACACCATTCTGTGTCACAGTGGCTACTGATGGCTGTCGGCTGGTCCAAACGTAAGAACCATCACCGCCAGTTACTTTTAAGGCAATCTCAATCCTAATGGGTTAATCAAGACAATGTTAAGAATATTTATTAATCATTAATATTAGTGCGAATTAAATATTTACATACCGGGATTTTCCCCTGGGATCCCACGGCATGGCTAGAATCTTTGGATGAACAGTGACTGGTGAATGTATCGTAAGTTCTGCTCTGGTTGATAATTTTGACAAAAGTGTCACTCTTTTTCCATACTTATTGATCACTCCGTGAAGAGTAGCTTCTACTGTTGTTGTTCCAATGTTTATTGGCACACCGATGACATGAGTTCCATTTGGTGTTACCGAATGGGTATTGAAGTACTTCCCATCGATCTGCATTGTTGCTTCTACACCTTCACCAATATGAAATCTACGATCCTTACTGCAATCATAATATAATTATTTCATTGATTACTTTGTAATCGATGGGTATGGCAAGGAGTTGTGTATCAATGATGATTATTATAAAAGTCTCTATGAAATGATATAAAAAAATATTTACTTGTCGTAAAGCTCAATAACAATTTCATGAACTTTTCCAAGTATGAGGGCCCAATTTCTATCTGGAAGAACTGTAAGTGCTATGTACGCCACGTCGTTCACGTTAACTGTCGCTGAAGGTAAAACAACACCGTATTCTTCATGAACATATTTGTCATGTAAGAAAATCTTTGTTTTTCCGTATGAAAGTGCATAAATGGAGCTATGCTCGTTGTCTATTTCTAATATGGCTGTATTTTCTGCCTCTAAGTAATATTGACTTGATGGAAAATTTATTTCTTCTAGTCGACCCTGACGGACCTGTTAAAGACACAGGAAATAAATGATTTATGAAGTAAGTCTTTATATATAAGTCTTTAGAAAACTTATAAAAATCTTAATGTACTTGCCTGCATCACTTTGTACTTGAAACTATCATGTACCATTATTGTAACATCGGATGGTAGTATTATAAGATTTGCCACAACAATTAATTCCACTTCTATCGGGGATACATGTTTATATTCTGGATGTAGTAATCTTACTGAAACCTGAAAGTATAGTATTTCACATATAGTAGTAACTGAATAGGATAAAAATATTGATTAAATGATCCATGTAACGTACCTTCGCTGTTCCTGTTCTAACTCCTTCCAATAGAATGATATGCCCTCTTTTACCTATCGCATCTAAACTGCTAACCGTATGTGGTGTCTCGTATGGAGACTCTTGAAAAGTCATAAAACGCAAGACATTGTTCGGAGCTTTTTTGTCTACTGTGGTAGAATGTTTATCAATATTGCCAACTGTCCAAGTAAATTCTACGCCCGCCAGAGTTGTGAATTCGTTACCTATAAAGAGAAACGAAAAAGCGTTATTATACTAGATGCAAAAGAAATGTATCCAATTACACAACTGCACATAAATGTTGCATATACTTTGACCTACCTTGTTCGTCACAAGCTCGAACTTCAAATGCTTCTGGTGCTTCTTCAATAAATAATTCTCTGGTAGTAGTAACAACATGAAGGGAAGAAATTGCATCTACTATAACATCACAGCGTAAGACCAATCCTGATGCTACATCCTCTGCTAAAACAATAGCAGTGTTTCGAGTAAATTCTTTGGTAACTGTTTGTACAATTACAGCAGATGAACATGTTCTGTCTAGATTTTCATTTATGGGTACCAATCGGATAATATCCAAACGTGACGTGGACCTGTAAATAAATAAATAAAGTTAACAACTCATTCTATTTCAATTCATCATCGCATATGTTAAACTTGAATAGAAGTTAACACAAATTGTATTTAAATCACTGAGCAAAGCACGAAAGGTAGAAGGAACTTAAGGAAAAGGTTATCATTGTTATATATTATACTTTTCCTGTACTAGTCCCAGAAAGAAGCTTTTGACCGTTAAATTAATAAAAATATATGGAAACTGAAATATGGAATACAGCTCCAATTTGAGTCTTATGTACTAACACAAATAAACGTGTATAATTACCATTGATAGCAACCACCCTCGGTTACTTCAAGTGTAAAATTAACAGGGTAATCATTGAAAACTGGTAATAAAACTCTTGGTACGTTTAATCTGTGCCCTTCGACAACAATTGTCACATTAATCGCGGCAGCACATATGGTAAATACAATTATTTTCAATAACGCTTCTGACCCCGCCATAATTTTCTACATGTGTTTTGCTAGTTTTGCAAACTCTTGGCGGTCCTTTCCGGCATAAAATATGCTTTACCGCCTTGGTCATAAGTTGTTCTTCTTCAAGAGAGATCACTGTACTAAAGTTTGAATCAAGAATAACCTGGCACGCAACAAGCTGCAGAATTTCTGTGCCGAGCATTCAGTTGACTCATTGTCCGCTGTCCAACTGGTAGTTTCTTATAGCCAGTAGGATACCGAATTGTATCAAAAGCCCATCAGCTTGAAGAAAGTTGAAAGAACATGATTCGGATTGACTGGTAGTTATAAACTTACACACTGTCGAAAACTGTCCAATAGTAAAATACTTAAAACTGTAACAGAACGTAGTTAATTGTGAGCGAGGTTTAAATTTTGATAAAAATTATCCTTAATTGTCCAAATCCTGCTATTTGAAAACATTTCTACATATTCTAGAATTAATGGCTACATAGCTCAGTTGTAAAAGAGATACCTGAGATTGCCAATTCACACTAACTTTGTACAGTTTTTGATACTTGTGCAAAACAATGGGACCTTTGGGTAGGAAACACGTCGAACTGGCTCGTCACTGGTGAGAAAATGTAGCGTTGTAAATTTTATGTAAATTTTCTTATATTTAATTGACATTTCATACGCACTTCAGCAGCTTAGGCTCTGATTAAATTTATTGTTGTTAAATGTGGAAAATCCAGTTTTAAGAAAGTATAGTATTCATATATTTATCATTGCATAATATGTATATGTAATCAGAACAATGCGATATGTTGCAAGATCAATAAAATCTGAAATCTGAGCTTTGTCCTTCCCTAAATAATTGTAATTATGTAATGGAGTATAACGATACTGTGAATGTAATTATGGTATCTTTATAATATTTATTTAACACTATCATTGTTTGTAAAGCTGTATATCATTTAATGTTTTATGTTGTACTTTTTTGTCACAGGCTTCCATCTGTTATGTCATATGGAACTGCTGCTACGTTAGCAGGTCTCTACTTCACAGATTGGAAAGTAGTTCTGCAGTATGTACCGTTCTACAACACCAAATTCCAACAATAACTTCAAGCAAGAAACAATGTATAAATATGGATTAGTTATAATAGTTGTAATAAATTTATTCATCCGTGTCACATTTTAAGATGACACAGCAAACAAACTTGTGTACATTCAAATACATAATCCTATCGTACATCAGTAATTTACTACAATCAAGAAATGTATCCCATTCATTTTTCATATTTTAAATCATATGAAGTGCTAAGCTATTTTTTGGTCGTGGTTCTTCACGTAGAGCTTCATAATATCCAGTAACTTCTCCATTATTTATTGCACTTTTAGTCAATCTCAGGCGCATCGGAGCTTCAAAGCACATTCTGCAGATATAAATAAGTATGTTAATTATTCAAAACAATGATATAATTTTCTAATAATCAAATTATTACTTGTATCCAAAAATGAACATCATTGAGAACATTGACACACCAAATCCAGTGCCAGCTACATACAAATTGCTATGATACCTCCAAAGACGCCTAAAACACGATTAAATCTTTACATATTTGTCAATCTACTCCATGAAAAAGGTCATCAATTTTCTATTTGAATAATTTGCTAATTCAGAAAATTTATAACCAATATTTCATTTGATTCATCGTCATCTTACCTCATTTTGAATTCTCTTGAACCAAGCCTTTATTTTTACTCCAATATTCTTCGATGAGAGGTTTCCAAACGTAAGCACCACCGAAGACTCCTATGATAGTAACTAAAACAATTTGTCCGTTAGTGATACCTCCTCTAGGATATATACGCATATTTTTCTCAGTAGTCGTGCACAAGTTCAGCTAAAAAATGAAACACTTACCGATCAACAATGGCTCCGGTATCACTTCAATATGGCGGTCTCCCTCGACTCTCACCTTTTTCAGCAATTACTTTACTGCCCGAGGTATAACGACTATAAATATACGTAGAGAGATGCAAACCTGCTACAACAAACACAAGTATTTTAACACGAGTTGAAAATTTAACCATTTTATTATGTCAAATACACATCCCTCCTGTGCTATTCTTTCAATAGTACAGAAGTATAGAATACATAGAAGGTTGCTACCAGATTTTTAAGATCATACAAAGCAGAGCGTATGATTTTATGTAACAGTACTTGTTAGAAATATTATATCTGTTCAACCTGACACTTGTCCCTTGAGAGATGAAACCAATCAAGGAAGAAGTATATATCTTTCACTTTAAATTTCGCAATTTTACCTTTTAGGATGATCGCATCGAACATGTCGCGTCAACAGTAATAGTTACTTCAATATGCGGAATTGAACACCTACAAATTTCAAATCAAATCTATTTTGCAATTTGAATATAGAAATTTGCGACTGTACTTGTATATTTATTTTTTTTTTAAGTAGGGAATGGACGCCATATTGTCACATGTTCTGAACGATGGTGTTTAAAAGTAATGAGTAGAAGCAATATTGTTCAGCTGAATTATTTTATATTTGCAATAATTGGCAGCTATAAAATTTGCAAGAATGGTCATTTATTTGAAGTCTTACGAAAGCATTTTATTTTGCTTGATCGTAACAATTATTCAATTCGTCATGTTAAATCCTCAACTATACGCTACATCTTTTCGCGAGTATCACAATTAAACCAAGTTGAAACATTTTAACTAAAAGAACATATAATTTTGTGGAAAATGTACTTCCAGGGTATGGATTTCATCTTCAAATTAAAATGCAACGATCGGTACGAGCACGAAAACACAAAGTATTTGATTTGGGTCAGAACAAATTGTTGATAAAAATTCGAAATTAAAGATTTATCCAATGGCAATAATTTGTAAATGGCATATTGTGATGATATACGAACACTTGGTGCTTTCAGGTTTCTCGAAAGAACTGCACCTTCGATATATTTTATAACTTATAAGTAAAAATGGAATTATTTTCTTTCTAGAAGAATTGAACAATCGCCCCACAATAAACATTCACGTATATTTTACATTGTTTCTCATTGCTAAAATGATTATAGCGTGTAACGCAACATTACTTGAATATATTCATTATAAGGACATTTTTCTGCCTTCAATGGATATATCAACTGCTCGTCTAGTAGACTTTATCCTCTTGTTATCGATATAATTTTTCATGTGCCGCTCAAATCGATTCATCTGCTTCTTAGTGCTCTGAAAGAAAACGAAGAAAGATATAAATATTTCATCCGGTTGCAATAATTTATAGTGAATAAAGTCAGGCATTGGCATACTCTGCTAATATCAATATCAGATTTCCAATCTGGTCGTATCACGTAATCCTTATTAGATGGAATAGGGACTCTGGCACGACCAACCCAACCAGGGTCACCTGGTCTCAATAATCTAAAAAACAAAAAGGGAGAAACATTGTTACAGGTAACAAGTATCAACAATTAGCTTCACCGGCAATAGTTGAAGTCGTCAGATTAAAATTTACTTGGCGTCTCCTTTCAGTGCTTTATTAATGTCTTGTGATTTCTGAGAAGAACTGCCCTCGTCGACCTTTCTTCTCTTTTGTGGTGTTTGTTCAAGATCTCTCTGCATTCTTTCCTCCTTGGTCATAGCCTTGAAATCGGCGGAAAGATTGAAAATCGGTCGTGCCCACTCGTTTATTAATTTTCCAGCACGTTCCTTGTTCTCTTTGGTTTCCTTAGGATGTTTGTAAAGATACATAACAGCTTTACCAATCCCAGATTGTTTCAAGGAGGACTGATCGATCCTTGGAAACTGAAAAGATCCAAGAAACCGTCAAGAAAAACTACCAGTAATTACTAGCTGTTGGGAATTAATTTAAATATTTTTAAATCATCTTGATATACCTCCCAAAGTAACTTTAGAAGACTGTCTCTGATTTTCATTGAAGGTAATGATCGATCAGGCATCGGTGCCAACCAATCAGTAAGTATGGCTAATACATTGTGCTCCAAAAATGCTAGCTGTAAGTCATGCTTCTTTAACTGCGAAAGTACTTTTGGTAACATGGCTATTTTGTTTGTAGCCGGTTTATTTTGTTGATTTAACTTCCTGTCTTCCTCCGATGCACCTTTCATGTCGGATAATAACTGTGCAATTATGTCATCATTGTCATTAATAATATCGATGTCTCTGCGCTTTCGACGACGAGTTTGTTCATCCTTCTTACGAGCAAGCATACGATCAAAATCAGACATAGAATTGTCCCTGTACAAAAGGAAAAGACTAATGAATTAAGGAATATATATTTGATAACTTCTGTGTTCTATTAACTTACACATATCTGTTGCTCCTTGGAAGCAAATAGAAAAAATGAAGTGTAGATACAACTTGGACTTAAGGGATCGCATTTGCAATAATCTATGAAAAATAAATTTTACTTACTCCATGCCACCAGGAATACCATCGTCCGAATCGTCTTCATCCTGTACTCCAGTAGGTGCTTCATTCTCTGCTGGTTTACTGCCTTCCTCTGTGTCTCCCTCCTCAGCTTGGGGTTCTTCGGGTTCTTGAGAACCCTTTCTCTTCTTCGGAGACTCACCATTTTCATCTTCCTCTTCTGAATCTGACAAGCCGCGCTTAAGCTTCTTGGAAGCTCGTACTTCGCTGTTTTCACCTTCGGAATCTGATAATATGCGACTGCCTTTTTGCTCGATAGGAGCATCGGATTCTCGACTATAGCTTCTTGATCTATGGGATCTAGCTTTAGAACCAGCTCTTGATCTAGATCCTGATCGTGATCGCGACCTAGACTTTGATCTTGAACGGGAACGCGATCTGGACCGTGAATGTGAACGTGATCGAGAACGCGATCTTGATTGGGATCTTCTTGAGCCAGAACGTGATCTAGATCTTGATTTTCGGGAACTTGATCGTGAACGAGATCTTGAAGCAGCTTTTCTAGAACTAGCTCCCGATCCGGAGCGAAAACTTTTTCGTGAGCCTGAACGTGATCGTGATCGTGATCGTGATCTTGATCGCTTTGGTGAAACAGATTTTGAGCGTGACCTTGATCTAGATCTTGACACTGATTTTCTGGAGCCTGATCTCGATCTGGATCTTGATCTTCTTGACGCGGATCGCGATCTAGATCGTGAGCCTTTTCGTGAACCTGACATCGATCTAGATCTTGAGCGTGACATAGCTTTTCTATCTTGTGACGGTGATCTTGAACGAGCTTTCTCTAGTACCGATGGTGATCCTTTCCTTGATCCAGAACCAGACCTAGATCGTGATTTTAAATTTCTTTTTCTATCGGATGGTGAATTGGGCCTGGAACCAAACGGGGAACCTGATTTCGATTTTGACCTTGATCGTGATCGTGACCGTGATTTTCTTGAACCTGGTGAATTGTTTCGTGATCCTGTTGGGGAATACGATTTTCGTGAACCAGACGGTGATCTAGGTCCAACTTCCAATGTTGCTTTTCTATCTCCTGAATTAGATCTTGATCTAGATCTTGATGATTTCCTAGAACCAGATCGTGAGCGAGATTTAATTCTTGGTGTAGGAGATGCCGATCCTGAACGTGATCTTGGAACTTTTGGTGAAGTTGGCGATGAGTTAGATCGCGATGCTGAAGCTTTCGGTGAATTGGGCCTGGAATTAGATTGTGATCTTGATCTTCCTCTGTGTGAATCTGATTTTGATAACGATCGAGCTCTCGTTGAGGAAATCGATCTTGATCGCGAACGTGAATTATTTCTTGAGGTGACGGGTGAGCCTTTTCTGGAATTGTTTGGTGAACCACTCTTAGATCTGGACCTGGAGCGTGCTTTATGAGAATGCTGTGATGAAGGTGATGGTGACCGTGATCTAGAACGGCTTTTTCTGGGCTCTGATGGTGATCTGGATCTTGATTTTCGGTCCATAGGTGGAGCAGACCCATCACGAGAAGGAGATCGCGATACAGATCGAGAACGTGATTTCCTTGATTCTGGATTGGACCTAGGGGAAGATGGTGAATCTGGTTGATTCTGTGTATGTGCTGGGGAAGCTGCATTCGACCTGAGCATAATAACATACTTTATTATAATTCCCTCCATATAATAATGTTATTCCACTTGTATAAACTAATTTTATGCAAATAATGTGAATAATTTTATAAACCTTGCAGGAGAACTCCTTCGACTGCCAGAATTTGATCTTGATCTACTTCTAATTGAATCATTGGGACTTATTGATCTCTTTGAATTGGCAGATGGAGAACGATCGTGTTCCATAGGAGACTGAGGTCCTGTCTGATTTTCGACAAGTTGTGTGCCTGATTTATTCAGTTCCTCTTCCGAATCACTGATACCGCCTGAATAAAGTTTTTTTGTAAATAGCTTACAGTATCTGTTAATAGAATTCTGATAGACTGTCTCCAACAAAAGGAAAGAATCGAACAATGTAGTGCTGATATAAATCTTTAATATTCTTATCTATACAAAAGTTCTTTAGAAAGAAGCTAATGCAGATAGAAGTAATAATGGTAAAAGAAAGTGCGTCATATTGCGGAAAACATTCTGAATAACTATATATTCTGAAAAGATTCTAAAAAAAAGTTACAGAAAATTATATAAACAGTTAAAACTATATATTGAGTCTCAAAATAGAATAAATTAAAGTTAAAAATTTTACATACCTTCTCGTTCCATGACGTCAATACGATTAGCAGCGATATAACGATGATTACTCTAATAATATATCATAAAGGAATCTCAATAAAAGTAAAAAAGAATTTAAGAAAATATATCCGGCTTTTTTAACAGCACCACCGGAGCTTCGTTTCAAGCTAGAAGCTGCTACATGCGTTCGTCTATATACGAATTAGCTGCATTTTGTTCAATCCAAAGGAATCAAACATTTCAAATATAGCGTCACGTTACACTCGTCGCACAGAGTAAACCGTATTAAAGGAAATCGTATGAATTAACGAAGTAATTCCTATTCACTTCTATCATAAATACGTCAGTACAGTAATACCAAGGTAGTTTTGTAATACAGGTTAATTCTATGGTTAATTCGAAAGGGGGTAACGATTGTTGATATTTTAGCTGGCTGACGTCACAATTTAACACCCAATCACACTCACCGAAGGTTCATTTGAACGTGAGTTGTCGACTAATGGTACAGAACGTCCATAGGAATTCACATTGGTTATTGGTCAAGAGTCACGTATGGTAAGCGTATCGAACCTAAATATGGCACGTTGATTGGTAGAACTATTGGGAGTTGCTAGAAGCGCCATTTAAGCAAGATGCGGCATATTGTTGCATTGTTGATTGTTCAAAGCAAACAAAATTTGTTCTCAGATTATAGAAAATTGGTCATATCTTCGTGATTATCTGAGACAATGTTCACGACACGTTATTGTTAATATTTATTGTAAATAATGGGTTTTCCACGATATTCTGCTATATTTCGACTAACTCGAAAAGCCACGTGGTGCAACAGAGTTGAAGATGAGGTTACTTATCGACGACTTTTGTATTTTGTACAATATTCAACGCAAAGTGATGCAAAGAGATCCATATTAGAAAATGATCTTCGATACAGTCCTTCGTTAAATCCGAAAAATGAACCATTCATGCAGTCAACGTCTGCTGTTCAATATTCTAATACTTCGCAAGGCACTGCGAGTGAGACAACACATGATTTTAAATCTAAAAATAACAATGAGATTAAGAATTCAATGTTAAACCCGTTGAATCAACCTCTGGATTTTGATGAGATATTCTTAGAACATACAAAGCCAGCACATCCTTTGGATGAATGTACTGAGGATGTTTCACACATTGCGCCATACTTGGCTCCCACATTTAACTTTGCTGCCTATGCTGATAAATCTACTACGCTCCAGGAACTTATTAAACTTGGTGTAGATTTGCATAAATTAGATGACAAACCTATGGTTCAAAGGTTTTTACTTCGTCTAGATTTTGAAAAGGACATGAAACCATATATACAATTTTTACATGATTGCGGTGTGTCAGCAGATACGATTGGCAAATTTTTAACAATAAATCCTATGATTTTTAAAGAAGACATGGATAATCTTCATACAAGAATAAGATACCTAAGAGCACACAATTTTAATTTGTCAAACGTGCAAAGAATAGTCTCCACTAATCCATTTTGGCTAATGTTTAATACAAAAAGAATGGACACTAGGCTTGCATTCTTTCAAACACAGTTTTCTTTAACTGGGCCTGAAGTGAGAACTTTGACAGTGAGAGCACCAAAACTAATCACTTTTAACTTGTCTAATGTAAAAGAAGCTGAGTTTGGTATTCGAGAAGAAATGGGTTTCAATAAAGATGAAACAAAATCCATAATCCTTATGAAGCCAAGGCTGTTAATGATGTGTAAGTTATTTAAAATGTTGAATTTCTTCAATCTGATTGTATTATTATAATACTTTATGTAAATTACAGCAAGGGAACGTACTGTTGCAAGTTTTGAGTATGTACACAATGTAATGGGAATATCACACCAAATATTGTCACAACAGCCACACATTTTATTGTGCAGAAAAACTAGAATTGAAATGAGACATAAGTTTTTGGCCAACTTAAGAAGAGCACAGTACGATCCAGAAAAACCATTGTACGTATCACCAAAAGCTCTGGTCACTGGAACTGATGCAGAATTTTGTCAAGATGTAGCACAAGTGCCAGTTGAGTTATTCAATACATTTCAAAAGACGTTGTAAAATACTAAGGAATTAATAAATAAGCTTCACTAAACATAATGGTTTATCTCATTATGCATATTGGCATATATCTTACAAATCTCTGTGACACAGTCACAAAATATCATGCCGCGACAATTTATGAATTAAACAATACATATCCTGTTGTGCTAGTTTTCAAATGGATAAAAGAATCAATTATAAAATACACAATACAGTCAATGTCAATGTCAAAACTTAAATATAAATACTTATTTCAACATCATGAAGACTATCATCAGACATGATTATTCATCTTTCTAGTTGAAACAATACAAAACCAAGTATTGTTCAAGATTATTACAAATCAAAATTATTTCATCGATAAATACAGCTCCACCCTCAAGAATTAAAAATATTGAGAAACAGGCAATAAACAGCGCGACTCCTTAGCACTTAATTATTAATTACTATGCCTTATATTATATTTAATAGATCGAAACGATCACACGAATGCATTAACATTCACAATCGTTCTTAATATTTCAAAAACTCCTAGTTAAAGATCCTAACTGAATTTACCTAATTCATCTTTTCGCTGTATTGCACGAACGGATCGATATAGGATGGCGTCAATTAGTCCAGCCACAGTAAATACACCACCAATTGCCGCACATACGTTAGTTGTAAAATGTCCAAAGGATTTTTTGACTTCGGTATACTTCACCATCAGTGGGCTTAATTCGTAACTGAAGAATACTCCAGGCATTCCTGAATCGCTAGATGCCTGAGATATGCCTCGGTAGTATCGCGTTAAAGAGAATTGATTACTAACCAGTGTAGAACCATCTCTTCGAACATAAGTGGTAGGCACAATTTTTATGTAGTGTTGAAACATCATAGCTCCTGTAATAAATCAAAAATAAAATTTTTATTTTCAAACATTCTAATTTTAATTTTAAATTGTTTGCGGATTCTTCCGCAACAGCGCTAGTGTCGTCAAAGACGGTGACGTCGAATGAACAGCCGTCTTTTTTATCATATGGCAGCCAACTAATATGGCGACTTGCTGATACGGTGAAAACTAAAGCGGGTAGATCGCGAAGAATTCTCGATAAGCTTGACAGCACGTAAAACAATATTTTAATACAGTGAGTATGAAGTTTTGCGGATTATCAATCAGCAAAATATGTTACAAATAATCAAAGATGTTATGGTGCATCTGACTAATATTGTTCGTGTATCCATTTCGTGCTTTTGGATTTCTCATGCAATCGACACATAGGTGTGCCGGTAACACGCGGATTTTTGACAAAAGAGAATTTTGTTTTAAAAGTTAAGGGCTTTGGATAAATTTTATCTTTTTTTTTTTGTACGTAGATTATAATGCCGGTAGTTCCTGGTGGAGCGTATCAGCAAGGACCATCCTGCTGGGATAGGATGAAGATGGGATTTACTATTGGTTTCTGTGTTGGAATGGCATCGGGTGCTCTTTTTGGAGGATTTTCAGCTTTGAGGTAATGCTTATGATAACTGTGTGAATAGTGCAGGTTTAATCTTATTGTTTTGTCTAAATTTTTTTTTCCAATGATTGCTGTCAGGTATGGAATGAGAGGGAGGGAATTGGTAAACAACGTTGGAAAGGTAATGCTTCAAGGTGGTGGAACATTTGGCACTTTCATGGCAATTGGAACAGGCATACGTTGCTAACATTCAGAGATATTGTGTATAACTTTAGAATGGATTATGTTGTAATATCAAACTGTACTATTGACTTTGTAATAAAATAATGTTAAGGAAATATGATGTACCTTCACTAGCTACGACCACTGTGCCATCCATTGGGTTGGTTTTTCCTGGAATGTTCAGTCCAAAGCTCAAATGACGGATCTTGTGTGTCATATTGAACTGAGTAGATGAGTATGGTTGTACATCGTGCACTAAAAATGACATAAATACAATATTGTATATTTGAGAAACATGAAATTTTATATGATATAATCTGGTCTGATAATTGGCTACAAATCAATTAACTTACCATGAACATGGTTAACAGAAAAACTGTCTCCAGGAGCAATATGGAAACTTCCACCAACTCGATTGACCTCCATATAGCCATATATCTGACATCCTTCTAAAAATGCACGTTTCATTCTTTCTACAGACTTATCATCTCTACATTGCTTTATAGATGATGGATCTGGGAATGCCCATTTTTTCATATTATAAGCCTTCCTAACGTCTTCACATGTGTTACAACATCTATAAAAATTATTTTATTAGAGTAATGTAATAAGAAACATTTATTTTTTATTGTTAAAAAAACTTACAGTATTCCCATTGCTTCACTAGTAGCTCCATAGCAATCTCCACACTCATTCGCATCTTGTGTATTCTTAAATAATTAAGAGTAAAGTTAACTTCTCATATATAATTCAAGTTTAAAACTAGATTACATTCTGAAAAATTAACTTACATTTTGGTTTGTTGTTTCCATCAACCCTTTTGTTTTTACAATATCTGCCAATCAAGAATTTCAAGATTAAACTTTATTCAATTATCAAAAAAATTTGCAATGACAAAAATTCACCTGTTTTCTGAGGATCTTCAATAGGTTTACCATCAAGGTCTAATCTCCTTTTATATATATTATGTTCTATTTGCAAATGTTGCTCCCCTGTTGCATCCATTGCATCAAGTGACAATACTATAATAAAATATAACCATATCTAAATTTTGAACACTTGTGAAATGCTGTATTACAGCTAGAAACACAAACAATGACTTACAATCACAAGATATTGTAGGTATTATAATATCCAAGTTAATTCTCAATTTAGAACCCCTCGATGTATCTACAAACAGCTCTTCTTTCAAGTTATACTTAAGGTAATCCTCGACTTCACACAGGAAGAATATTATCATCATCAATGCACTGATCATCGACACTAAAACACAAATGCATTATATTATTAACAAACTAAATTATTATCGATTATAACTTCGTAGCTGAATATTACTAGTAAATCGAATTTTGATATACTTTAAGGTTAGTCACAGAACAGTGTACATTTAATGATTACATTAACGAATAACTTTTTAACAGAAAGAATACAACTTCTTACTGTAATTTCGAATTAAAATTCATTCAAAATTTTATCAATGATTAGAAAATATGCCAAAAGAAAAATGTAAATAGCAGACGATGACGTGACTGACAGAGTTCTATAAAACAAGCAGAAATTAATATACTTGAATTAACGTACCAATACCGCCGCCGAACGTCTGGACGCGTTCTTCAAGAGTTTTAGGATACACATCGAAAAGGCGAAATATTTCTAGTATTTTCATCTTTACTAAATATACTTTTTTGCAACTTCCTTAACGTCCACGAATGATTGTGATTATCGCCGTGCTGATACCGACGATCCCTCGGCGTTAAACGTGTACGGTAATGACTTCGTGTAACTTCGTAATGCTTCGTGAATATTCGTGAAGCTCCGACTTGTTTCAACCGAAATTCCTCCAAACTAGTCAAGCGTTGGAGACAGCATGATGTTCTGACAAAATTCGATAAAATTCTACAGTATATTAATGGTATTTACATTGTTTCATATAATTCAATTAATTATACAAACCTTTACAAAGTATATAACGTAATGAAAGTCCTTGTGACAATGTTCTTTATACATTTCGAATGTATCCGTTCTCTCCTAAATTACCCATTTATTGTAGTTCAGAATTTTTGCTATTGCATAGTACAGGATTAATTAAATACACAGTTTGTAATTCATGTCAGTAACAAATCTTTGATAAAATTTATTTGTCCTTTACACTTTTTGTTAATCGAGACGATCCAGGTTATCGACTCGATACGCGACGTTCAGTTTGCTTAAACATATTCGATAGATTTACAAGTTGATTTTTATACGATAATCGTATAAAATATTTCAATAATCTCGAGTCTGTTGTCTCGTAGGTCTTCGTACGTGTTGGTCCTTAAGTATAAGGACACGTAGTTAAGGCACTGGGTGCCAGGAATACATAGAGTGCATTAAATCGAAATAATAAAACGTAAGAATAACGCTAATCAAAATGTATGATTAAAATTAAAAAAAGATTACGTGTCTTAAAAGTAATTGGACGGCGGTCTAAAATTGGCGATTGACCCAACAATACGTTCACGTGCATTCGTCGCCTATCTATGATTTCCATATTCCATGTGATATTTTTCTTTTTACTTTTTAGCAAAAATTCAATTACGGCATTCGTATTTCTTTCAGGTCAACATGAGTACTTGGTGCAAATATCCACGGGTCGATCGTACCTAACGAACTAACATAAATTCTAAATAATTGTACTTGCTAGAACAACAATGATTATAAAATAAGTTGCCTGTGTAAGACTGTTTTTTTTCGACACCATCATTGAACATAAGAGTGTCGTGATTTACAAGGGATCGTCTAATCAAAGTGTTTTATTCTAAGCTTTGTACGAAATTAGTAGATCCAGTTAACTGGAACCCACTGGTGTTCGGTTGCTAAGGCGTCCAGGGCTGCTACTACTTGTCTGAAGGTGTTGTCAAAGTCCTCGTTAACGATTACCTGATCAATATACTTCTCGTAAGCTCTCTGCAAGGCGGCAGATTCTTCCAGAGTATTTTTCAAGTCGTCTTCCTGTAAGTAAATAAAATGAAAGTCTTGAACGAAGTCGATTCCATTGGACTTTATATGATTGTTAAACCATGCAGGTAACATTTTTATAAACTATTTAACATTTGTTTACATAGTTTTCATGCAATACAAACCTCGTACAGGGATGCAAGTGACTCCAATGTTCTGGCTCTTCTGGAGCTGTACCTGATGGAGCTCTGGCGGTCAAACTAGCAAAGCGAACATCAAATACGTATACAATTAAATCAATTACGCATTCGAACTAATTACGATATGTAACAATTATTCGTGGGAATTATATTCACTACGACGATGCATACTTAACATTGCAGGTTAGGTTTTAAGGGGTCCAACTACGTCATAATAATGACAACCATTTTGGAAAATCAAACAAATGTTATTGATTGTATCAAATCTTTTTTTGTAATATTGAAAACAAATACTTATAGCACTGCTATGAGGGAACATGCTAAATAATAATTGAGCTTAGACGGGAATTAAATTAATCACACAATTTTTCTTTCAGCTGCGTCTGCGTCTTTTCACCAAGAACTATTATGGTGGTATGTGATTGGTGGAAAGGTGACTTTGAATTCCCAAGCCCTGACAAAAATGACTATAAATTGAGCAGGGGAAAGTGTTTCAATGGGGCACTTACAATACAATGGTAATGAAGGTACTAAGACCTTCTAAAGGTTTCTTGGCGTATCTTTATCTAAGTCTTTGTATACTGTAATGGCATTCCATAAAATATCAACTTCGGCAGTATGACTGTGAATGATCTATGGTTACCGTCAAATTTCGATTGCTGGCTCCAGTTGATCTCCCAAGATCGTAAAGAGACTTGAGCTGCTCCATACCCGGCGCAGCGATGAAGATGACGTACGGCATAAATTCTGTGCTATTGTGTAAAATCTTGAGCGCTGCTGGACTGCAGTCGAGGACGCACATTTTACCAGAACGTATTAATTCACGTACGGAATCCAATTTGGTGCCATAAAGATGTCCACCATGTTCACCATGTTCCAGATAACGATGTTCTCTTATGTCACATTCCATCGACTCACGATCCGTGAACCAGTAACTCTTGCCGTCCTCCTCGAGAACTCTTGGCGGCCTTGAAGTGACTGATTAAAATAACTATTAAAATAATTATTTAAATGGATGATCATTTTGATTGAATCTATTAAATCACTTACAAGGTACAATAGTACCAAATTTCTCAGGATCGCTATTAATCAATCTGTTCTTCAGAGTCCTTCGACCTACTCCTCTAGGTCCTACAAGGGCCAGAGTCTTGCGTCTGAAGGGTGGCATTATGGCTACTTCCTCGTAGAGGAGTAATTCAGCACTGTCGAATTCCCCGTTTGATTTTGACTCATACATCTTTCTTTTCTTTTTCTTAGAGATCCTCGTACCACATATACTGATCTTGTGAACGAAATCTGCTTCCGGTGGCACGAATGCCTTTCTTCGTTCCTCCAATTCTAAGGATGGAACCAATCCTGGTGGCCCCAGGCTCTCGCCCTCGGTTCTACGTGCCTGCCACCAGTTGGGATCAGCCTGGTCTACGATCAGGAGCACGTCGCCTTTTTGGAATGGTAATCCTATCTCACGGCATGGTAAGAGAGTATCTTCGGATGGATCATAATCAAAGAGCGCCCTCATGTAGCACTGTATTAAATTGAGAAAATCATTGTTAGTATCGCTGCACCAGGACGCTGGTCCACCAGATACTCTCGTTCTGACTTACCGTGGATTTCAGAGGTCTGGAACCATCCCCAGCTATACCTGGACCAAGTTTCAGGGAAAGATTATCCTTGGCATTGTGTATAGCCCGTTGCAATTCATCAGGGGTATGCACCTCCTGTCCATTCACTTCCATGATCACCTCGCCTATTCGTAAGAGTCCTTGACGAGCTGCTGTACTGCCACCCAGGATCCTGGCGATAATGAGATTACCGGACTCATCCACCTGCACTGTCAGACCCTAAAATCAAGGAGAAACAAGTCGTTATAAATCTTCATGACGCTATACCTCGAAACATCTATACTTTCATTAAGTATTTCAGAAGCGTGGTTAGGTAAGCTTGATTTTACAAGAATGGCATTCCTTAGTCTGTACCGGGTGTTCAAAAAACTCTCATTTTTCACATTTAGCTACGTTCAAGTCACGCTTCCGAAGACGATCCTTACACGTACCAATGGTTCATCAGGATTCCTCCTAAGACCAACCACCCTGACAGCGTCGGCTCTCTCGTCGGTAGGCATAGTTAAGAACAATGGATCAGGCGACGGTGAAGCGTCCCGACGTGTAGCGACGGCGTCGTGCGTTTCCAAAAGAGCCTTCAGATGCGAACCTCGAAGAAGACTGACAAGCTCACGAGCGTTTTCGTTCCGTGATAATTTGAAGTCGTGAAGAATCTCGTCGACGATGTCACAAACTGGACACACTGGCTCTACCGATAGTGGAGGATCTTCCAGTCGATCCTGTACCTGGGAAAGAATACCTGGTGAGTCTAGGTTCAATCGTTCGCACGGAATTCGAGTTTTTCTCAATCTATATTTAGATATAGAGTCCCGTAAGTCGCATATGTGGCTGCGGTGGCTTATTGCTATGGTGAACCGTAATACTTGTGAAAGTTAGAACGGGTTTAAGCTACGCTCTTTTCCTCGACAGCGTACGGGGCCCACGTTACTTCAAGAGGTACAAGAAGATCTCAGGATATATTCGGTCCGTGGATCTATTGATCTTTTCAATTTATCTTCCCATCATACCTACACTAAGGAAAGCAACGCCTGAATCAACATTCAAACCTCAGTCATGACTCTGAATCCAATATCTTGTTAATGAAATCTGTGATGTTTTTCTTTTAGGGAACTGTCCTTTAACCGATGAACTTTGACCTTCGGGTATGTACCACCAACGAAATGCACGGCACTGCAGTCAACTGAGAACTGAAATGCACTTTCTTTGCTGCACCGAGTTTCCTTATGATTGTTTAAGAAAACTCCGGATGTTGCTTGGACTGGGCCTCACGAATGTTATTGAAATATTGAAAACTGTGTAAATAGTAGGTATATGTTTTAGTAAACTATATATATAGGTATATCTATATCCATGATTATGAGCGCTTATACGCTATAGTATGTTTACTCAGATTTCGACTGTTCTTACTAATGAACTTTATTCTAGGTATGGATTTCAACATAACAGACCAAACCCAATGTACATTATTGATCAACGAATTTTTCACTATGAAGATTCAAAGAGAAAACCATTTATTAATGGGAACGAGGACGCTGTGTTTTCTTTACGTTTGACCTGTCTACACAGCAAGTCTAGTGAATTCGAGTATAAACCAGTGGCTGGTATTTAAAAATTTCTCGGTAAAACGTCAATTGGAATATGGTAAGTTTCTCATTGATTCTGACATTAGAAATCTGATTTTAAACGCGTGCCACTGTTGGACGAGCTATACTGTCCCTCCACCGACAAAACCCGCGAGTTTCTATTTACTTGAAGTTCCGTTAAACGTCGCTCTTTGAGATCTACGATTCTTTAGATACAGACTGTCCGCTCCTAGAATATAGCAAAGAACTGAAAGAGATACTAGCTACTATAAATGTTGAGGCATCTAATTAAAATCACGAGTATACTTCTCACTCGATCTCCGAATGTCCCATAAATAAAAAGCGTGAAATAAATTTAATTTCGAAATCTGATGAACTATATAAATAATACACTATCTTTATAAAGGTATGTCAACCCCAGTAACACAGTACACCCATGGTGATCTCATCGCAGGAACATTAACCGCATTATACAACAAGGTTTATGACTGAAGAATCGAAAAAGAACGCAATTGTATTTGATACTTTTGATTGACGTAATGGTAAGAAGAAGAAAAAATGAAGATTACTACTCAACGGTAGAAAATAATGACGCGCCTTCTCACCTGGCTGAAAATATCCTCTTCCGATAGCGACACGCGCTTCTACTACGTTACTACAGGAGCACAACGCGTTTGACGTTAGTCAGTTACTCATCCACAGTGGATGCACGAGTCGCGTAGTAAAATATCGATCGTCCCCTTGGCCGAACTGGGGAGGAAACACCAGGGCGAAATAAACGTAATCGCGAGGGTCTTCAGGAGCCTGATGTATGTATGGTAGCGTCATCAGAAAACTGCCGCGCCTACTATTTCGCCTCGTCGTAGGCAGCCCGTTCAGCCTGTTCAGTCCGTTCACAGTCTGTTCAGCCCGTTCGCTTGGTTTATGAAACAGGTGGGGGCCCCCGACTCTTTCTTCTCCTGGTATGCAACACTCCGCTACACTACACTCAGGGCCGTAGAAAATAGTGGGACCAGGACGATGGAAAGTGGAACCACTATCGGGGACGGTGACTAAGATCGGAACCTTAACCGCATTTAATTCCTGAGGAAATGAGTGTGACGACAGTGAGATCCGATGACGGGGCCCTGATTTGATACGGCACTGCATCACTGCATTCTCCTTCCTCCTTACACTCACTTCTTTTTAACATTCCCACTCCTCTTTGTTGCCATTAGCAAGCAGCACGCCGTACTGAAATTACATAGTCGTATCCCTACGCCGTAGCATGCATTGAATTTCATACGAGTCATATCGCAGTTCAGACTGGCGTGCTCCCGACCCGTCTAAATTCGTATTATTAACGGGTTCACCAGGTCACAGCCAATTAACTCGTACGAACGAGTCGGAGCAATGATTCGTTACAGGGTCAACGATTTAAGCACGACGTCTACCGTGCTCTTATGATTTTATCCAATTATTCGTTTTATCCAGTTTTGCACTTTTGAGGTTAGACGTTGACAATTAGACTGTTGGTGTCGGCCGTGTCATCCGGTATAGATAACTACACGTAATAACTAACGAGTCATTTACTTTCCAGAAATGAGAACAATGGCGGTGGCTTTGAAGTCTTAAAGATTTTAACGCCCTAAAATCAACTTTGTGCTTTCCTACCTGCCTGATGTTTTACCTGACTTCGCTAAGTGGAATGTGAGGGCTTGGCTTGAAGAAGCCAAGAAACCAGTGAGGGAAGCGCGCCAAGGAAACAACGTATCTACAGGGTGTCCAGTAAGTCTGGAACAGTCGACAACGTAACAGTTATCCATATACCTTCGAATGACGCCTACACTTTAAGACTACAGATTCACCAGTACCGGGAACAGGTCGTATTTTTACTTATATCTAACTAGGCCATGCCCCAAACAATAACATCGATCTGTTTCGCTTTTACTCCTGCAGCGAATACCATTCGGATGCTACGTACCAGTTTATGCACGTGCGTTGCGCAACAAAGGAAAACAATTTATTGGCTGCTTGTACCAAGCTCTGTGGAATTTTGATGTAATAAGAAATTCGTTTGACCGCCATGTTTATACACTGTCTCTGCATTCTCTATAGATGTGCCTATAGAGTAACGGTTCGTTGTGTTGCAATGGCTTTCAGTTTGTATCGCATTACAGCGTTTTCATAATGGTGAAATTGCATAAAGGATTGTTTTAATGAGAGCATCGACGCGTGTATCCAGTGTCAAAGAAAAATCGTAGTACACTAACAATTTAATCGATAATCCCATCGTGCGCCCGTAGTAAACATTGTATATTACGTACAGCAGACAAATATCATATTATATATAGATATATTTATTACCCGATGACGCGAGGCCAGGCAACAGTGTTTACAACGCGCGAAAACTACACGTCACTTATGGAAACGCGTAGAATCGATGCACAGCCATGTTACATGGGCTCTGTTTCCAAATCCCTAAATAACGTTTGTAGTCACGAAACGTCGTTTCCTTGGATATACGAAAAGAAATGTAGTTTCGTACGACACAGTAGTTCTCATTGAGCGACCATATTTTTCCTATGTTTTATAGTCAGACTTTTACATTGTATATTCAAGGTTTGTTCTCAGCGACAAAAATATCAATTATTTATTTACGCATTATGCTCTTAAAATTTAATTGTTACATGGAAACTCATCTTGAAACCAGCACTCACCTTGACCAACGACGTCACCACAGGGCTGTCTAGTAATCCCTTGAGGAAGAGCAGGTCCGTATCTTCAGCGACTTTACCCAGCTCCTCGAGATTCTCTCTGACGTGGATGAACGCAGCTGGAACAGTCACGGCACACTCCTCCATAACTGGACCGGGTATCACGAATAGGGGTGGAACTGGGGTCGTGGAAATAAGGATGTGACAGTGAAGGCTAACCCGGGCGTGGCCATCTCTTCTGGTACGATCAATATTCTTATAGCTACAGGTGGCGGCTGACACGACGCGCGCCCCTGTATGGTAGCTACATTGAACGAGCTGATCTTTCTTTATTTTCAGCAGGAGAATGACGGATTTTTCAAAATTCCCGCCACGAGTTTCTTACTACGCGCTCGTTACTATCGCCCTAATGGCAGTCTGCGAAAGTAAACGTCTTGTGAAGGTGGACGCACATTTGTATACCGAACAGACTCAAGATCATCAAAGTGCAACGATGCTAATGCACGGTGAATTCACGAGTGGACGTTAATAATTGTCGTATGATTTAGTTTCAAGGAGACAACTGTTTGGTGAAATTCGAAATGTTCTTGGTACTGCCATTCGCGTGACTGCATAATATTCACGTTTCCATGACAGACTTCCTATCGAAGAACGATCCTGTGGCTGATATGGGATTATTGGAGTATTATGGATACTAGAAAATGATACTGGTCTTCTTGTATATAGATTGGAAGGATACTGTTCGTGGGTATTGATAATACATAATAGTGATACTTTCCTCATATTTTAAGATACTCGATACAGTCAATATTATACAGATGGGTTACTCTTTTAATTCCTCTACCCAATTTACCGTTATCAATTTGATGGACCTTCGCGCCGTTCATGGCATCCATGCTGGCTAGCAGACGACGATCGTCCGGTCTCTTCTTACGACCAAAGAGAACCATATTGATGGTGATTATAATATTTATTAAAGATAATATTTAGCACAGTATTATCCGTGTTACGTAGAACGACACTTGATGAATTTCATAAACACCCGGTATAAGAAAAAAGGCACTCTTATGTATTCCATCGAAGAATGTAAAGTGAGAAATGAATTTTGACGATGAAAAATTTTTAATAAAAATTCACAGATCACAGAAGAGATACAGGAGAAGAATGAAAGTAGCTAACAAGAGCCGTGAGGCCCACCATGACAGACGATGCTTTGGGTGCTGTCTCGCGCGGGCACCTGCACGGGGCCTTAAGCCCCAACACACTTGGTGTTCCACCTTCGAGTAAAAGCGACACCATACGGATGTTTCGAAGAGTAAACACGCACTATAGAGGCATAGAGGCCCGTCCTCATTTGGTGTAAGGCCCCTCACGTTATCTAAGCGCTTTTTTTATCGGGCCCTAGAACTATTAGCAGAAACATACTCGTACGAATGTATAGCCATTCTTGTCCTAGGCACACTGTTATACATTTTTCGTTTTATAGTTTCCTCTGGCTATACCACGCGTGTCTGGTTACTCGCGTACGAGGTGGACGTCAGAAAAGGAAAGTTCCTGACTGGAGTGCGTCTTACGTCGTGCGTGAAAGCACAAGCCGTTAGCCACTGGCTGGCGATGAGAACTACTTGGATTTTCTTGGCTTCTCGACCAAAGGGTCCAGAACCGGCGTCCGGAGATGAAGCAGCTGGTCTTCAAAGCTAGGCAGAAGCGCGGCAGTGGGGGGAGGAGAGAGGAAAAATCGCAGCATCCCGATGCGGGGACGCCGGAGAATACCAAAGTGAAAAGATCGAGAAGTAGGGAGATTGAGGAGAGAGAGAGAGAGAGAGAGAGATAAACAGAAGAGAATGTGTATAGGAGAGTGAAGGTATTTTATATTCTTTCCAAGAACAAAGAAACTCACCAGTACCAGAATTCACTGTGTTTTGTCTCCTTGCGCGACGTTGCTGTTGCTGTTGCTGCTGCTGTTGCAATAATGCTGTAAGGACCGTGCATCCACAGACACTGCCGGCCATTCTTTACTTTCTATCATCGAAAAGCCATCGTTCGTTACACCCACCTTGCTTTTTTCTATCTTCCAGATCTATTGTCCTACTTGATTTAACATGGAACCTTGAACGATATTCGAGTCACGTTATTCCAATAAGACAAGCAAAGAACGGAATTTATTATTTTAACCGTACTTGAACATTTTCTTTAAATAAATATATATGTATATAAGCATCGTTAAATTATCAGTAGACAACTTTCTCAAGTAAAATCAGTTATACAAAAACGTTTCGAAGCATGTTTAAAAGATTTCACTGATACTTTAGCCAATCTGCCGATTCGTTGAGCATTCAATGTTTTTTTTCAATGGAAACGGGAATATCGTAACGCAACAGCGAATTCAAGGCTTTGGCAATTGCGAGTAACAGACTACCTAACGGTTTGATGGCGAATGTAAACGCTGTCAAGGGGATGACACGTGCCTCCTGCCGTCCTTCCCCACTGTACCTCCTACCACGGCCCCACCAACGGGAAGTGACGTATTCAATGACTCCAATGGCCTCTGTCCGACTCAACGTACGTAACAAACAGATTCACCGTCACTATTCATAGATCATTGTAGTGACGTGTATTATTCCCATCGCGATCCCGATATCTTCGTCACTTTCTTTTTCTTTTGCACAGTGATGCGATTCTACTGAGCAACTGGAGTCCACTGTTATGACTGTCGCCGAGGACTATTGGACAGTGGGGATAGTCGGCTCTACTTATACTCTTGGGGGGTGGTTCAATCCTCCCTAGAACCTTGCGTGATGCTCTGGTGTTTGCTTTTCTATAGGTATCTTTCTGGAATATCACTTCGATCGATGATGAGACGAACCAAGGGAAAATGTCTGTTTAAAAATTGATACTTATGTAATTTTGAGATTTGAGGGTTAATTAATAATTTGAGGTTGGTCCAGTCATGGTGGAGGAAATGTGGAATTTGAGAAATACCTTCTTTTACTGGAATTTCCTTACGCCGTTCTTTCTTGGAGATTATTGGCTCGTAACTTAATAAAAGTGGCTGTAAGCTGTCCACTATATCGCTCGCTTACTCTGCTACCAGCATGTGGATCCTTCAACCCTATATGATTCGTGTATGTTTACAGGTTAAGTTTAAACTAATAACCGAACGGCGTTCAATCATAACCTACTACTAGGAGGTCGTCCTCGTCGGATTCTTAACGAGCTTGATTTTTACGTTTTAGATAAGGAAAAGACTTGTCTTGCTTGTGTCAAGAGGAGCATCATGAATTATAAAAAATGAAAAGATTACTTTACTTGTCAATGATCATTTAATTTTATTAAACATTCAAATACTCATTGCTTCAGTGTACCACTGGATTTATCAATCGGACTTGATGATTGATTATATTACAAGAGTGATAACTACTGAAAATCTACTTGATCGACTACAGGTAAGAGTTATACAGGGTCGTTGATCGACGATAAATAGACTAGGCATTTAACATCTGTGAAAATTTCTCTCAATAGCTCCTTCTACTCATAGATGGCAGTATTTAACTCTTGTTCGCTCCAGTGGAAACAACCAGTATACCAACAAGCGCGTCACCGAACAGCCGAGAATGCAGTTTGTTTAACTTCTCAGTCGATTCGCCTTTCCGGAAAAAGTTTTAAACTACCAAGAAACTTATTCTGAACGATTACCCATAATCAATATCCTTATCAAACGGTTTTATAGATTGATCATACCACAATCTATCTCTAAATTTCATAGATAATCCAGATACGACATTAGACATATATCAATTCCAAAGATATTACATCCCAATGAATATCAGTTAATCGTACTCTTATCCAGATTGACATTCAGATACTCAATCCTAAACGAAAAAAGTGACACATAGAATATAAGACAAAAGACAACCTGGCAGATCTTCAACACAACAAGATAGCTCCAAGCCTCTCTTGAATTATCGCAACGACCTGCCTAGTTGTCTTAAACGGAAGGAAGTATCGTTCGACGACTGGCAAAAGGATAAGTCGTGTCGCAAGGTTGTTTCATTGAGAACAAACCAGTTAGACAGTTTCGATGCAATGAACTACAGTTCCTTAAACGATTGTAATAGCCACTCTGCACATAGAATACACAAAGTCAAGCTACTCCAGTCGGTGTATAGTGCGTGAATACGAATGAGCATAACAGACGTACTCGTAACCTCAAAAGTCTTCTCGCAGTAGATCCTCGTGGTCGTAATAATCCCATCAGAAGTATCGGGTCTCCAGGTCGTACGAAGCGGCGTCTGTAACAGTGGTTATATCGTCCTATAAGTTTGATTAGGGTAGTCGAGCTGTTTGATCGACTCGCATAAGCATAGGAACAATAACTATTACGAAACTTATGACAAGACAATAAAACCTGCTAACTCAATATTATACTCTCGGAAGAGTCCTCGTAAACAGTCTGGAGTGTTATCGCGAAACGTGAAGTATAGTCGAGCATGCGTCAGATATGAAAGAGTAAAAAAGGGGGTTCCAGGTGGGAGGAAAGTCTACGTCTGTAATAGGCTGCTGATTGAGATATACTTCAGAATTGTCATATCGGTAAAGAATAGTGGCCATTGATATTAAGAGGCAAAAAGGCAGTACTCGGCTCTGCCTCAGTCGGTATTTCAACGTGGATCGTCAGTGCAGCCATCATGTCAACAGGAATGGTATGTCCTTGTTTACTGGGATTAATATCCTACCTTCCAGCTTGGGATAAGCGTGGAGGGTGTAAAAAATAAGTTTGGTTTCCTTTGGATAACCTATATATCCTGGTTATCTTGACTTCTTGATCTTTCGTATCCTTATGTATGTACGTATGACATAGATCCTCTTTCTTTCTCATTTTCTTTCGTAGATCTAGGTAGATACCTAGTAACGGAATTTCAAGATCTGTTGCAAGAGAGTCAGGATAAAATTACATCTACGTATAGTATAAGTGATACGAGTGTATATGCTAAGTGAAGTGGTTAGGTTATCAAGGAGGTTAGGGACGAGGGAGTGTCTGGTCGTATTGGACGATATTAAATCGATATCTCCCGAAGGGCTCTCCGAAAATCACTTTGAGAATCCCATCGATAGAAAAGTTTCAAGGGCGGCCAGGTCGACCGCGCGGAAACTATCTCAATTTATCAATCACCTTCTGTACGGCCTTTACGTGTCACTTTCGTCGCTCGTATTCAAAATGCTAGACTCTAGAGGAAGGTTCGACTTCGACTTTGTGTCGCTTCTATGTAAACCATTCGAGGAGCATTTAACATCGATGCAGTAGTCGGTACCAATTTTTATATTTAAAAAAACTCGTGCAACCGATGATCTACGGACAGCCATTAAAAATGTATTGTAACGGTGATAAAAATGATTTTTTTATTTTTGACAGGTCCTCAAACTACTATTATTAGGCCTTTGTCTCGTAGCGACGCTTGCTCGGCCTTCTGAACGAGACGAAGACGATGTTATCGCGGACGATGATACCCCAGTGCCTTTTTCCTTGGAGGAGGCGTATTCCGGTAGATTCTCGGCGTACTCCTTCAACGGCACTTGGATCTCTTCGACGGAAATAATGTACCGGCAGAGCGGTACCAAAAACTTACTGAAATTCAGTGCCAGCAGCTTAGAAAGCGTGGAATTCCTCAATGCTACAGTTTTGGTAGTTATTAATGGTTTAGTTTAAGCTCAACTTAACTTAATATATATGTATATCGGATTAGTAAACCGATTAACATTTAATACATTGAATCAACGGTGGATTAAATTGATAACAAATTGAAGGTACTTTTGATAACAAGTATCACGCGTCAGATAACGAAGCGGTTATTGTGTCAATGCTCTGTCAAACGTTTTATAATCTGGTCGAGCGGTTTGATAAAAAAGAAATAATTACGAAAACGTATCGTTATCACAGCTGCATTTTATAGACTTTGATACTAATCTCCACTGGTAGAGCCATTGCAAAGTGCTGTATTAAAAGTTATTTTTTTAGATAACAAAAGGCTCGTACCTCTAGTCTTAGTCGCTATTATACTGCATAATTATTATATGTCAATTATTATTTCAGACAGACGTCAACGGCACGGGTTACTCCTTGTCACCTGACGGACTTTACCTTCTTATTCGCTACGATGACGTCACGGTTAGTGTAGATCGTTTTCTTAATTTTTCTTCATTTTCCTTATTGAGCTTTTCTTATTTCGCAAAGACAAAAAGTGCACTCTCACGCTCTTGGCTTTGTATCTTGGCTCTGTATACTTCTCTTTCTCTCTACCTATTTTTTTCTTCTTTCTTTTGTCTCTCTCTCTCCTTTCAGGGATTCAGACACTCGACATACAGCAAATACCTGGTGTACGATATTGCGGATCAGTAAGTAAACAACATTATTATATTGCTAAGTACATCAAACGTGGACGCCATTGTCACGAGTTTCTGTTGAATTTCAGAAGGTACGATGAGATAGCAAATTTGGAACATCTTCCACTGGCGTCCTGGGCGCCAACTGGTAACGGGCTCGTCTACGTGCTGGACAACGACGTCTACTACAGGAGCATTTCTGGCAACTCCGCCACGGTGAGAAGACTGACAAGCGATGGGGAGACTGGTGTGGTTTATAATGGCGTACCTGACTGGGTTTACGAAGGTAAATTGAAAGTCTACACTGTTGCTTCCCTTTTTACAGATTCCTCATACTGTTTGTATTGACTTGTTATCGTATAGAGGAAATACTCGGTACCGGAAGTGCAGTCTGGTTTTCGCCCGATGGAAATCACTTGGCGTTTGCCACTTTTGACGATACCGATGTTAAGGAAGCGACTTATTATTATTATGGGGAACCTGGTGACGCGGAGTATCAATATCCTACCGATGTAAAAATTAAATATCCCAAGGTAAGGAAATTGCATATCGTACAGAGAGTCTGGACGGTTGTTAAAGGAACGTTTAAAAATTGTAGGTGGTACTCTGTGATCTTTTATCATGGATCATTGGAATCTTCGTTGTTGCTTGTTATCTTTGAGATAATATTTCTTGAGGTAGTTTATCTCGTGACCTATCCATCTGCATTTAACACGCTAATTGATAAGAGTGTTATTTTCCAAAGTGAAAATTACTATTGTACAAGTGCATAGAGTCGCTGGTAAAGCTGCACGGCTTTATCTAGATTCTTACGTAAGACCGGCGACACTGATTTTCACAGGACGATAAAATTTCACGTTAACAGGGCAAAGTGCTAGCAGCGCCTTTACGGACGTGGGTCGATTCGATTGAATTGAAAATAAAGGAAATGAAAAAGCGAGTAGAAAAAAATATATAGTTTTGCCATTGATAACAAGATCACGACTTGCCCTGAAATCCTCTGTGCTAAATGCACATAGACATAACTGTAGCGATATCAAAGTTTTCATGTTGCTTTAAAACGACAAGTTAAATAATGCCGGCGATTTTACTGATTCCACTTGAGTCACGTCGATATTTCTATTTTACAGGCTGGCAGCACAAATCCACTTGTGTACTTGACTCTAGTGGATCTATCCAATGCATCCAGTCCATTGATAAATCTGAGCGCGCCGATAGACATTGTAGGCTCGTGAGTATATAAAAAATACGAAAAAATATAGTCCAAATTTATTAGCCAATCGAGTAAAATTATTCCATTAAAACTTTTACGCTTGCGTATTGCAATAATCGATTTATACCACTCGTAACTGTTACGCCGACTGGACTGTAGATAAAATTGCGTAATCTTGATTAAAACACGTATATTTGAATACAGTTAAAAAAGGGTCCATACGATAATTGCTATTTGCACGATTAAACGTTGGCGGCACTGTTTTAAATGTCGTTTAGGCGAAAGTAACCATTTGGACAAATTGACGTTTGGTCGTTAAAGTTTATACTTATAGAATATAAAAATTCAAATTGTCGAACGTCATTTAATATGTTGGATATATAGATAAGAGTTTTTCATTGTTATCAGTGTCAGGTTGCAATAATGCTGATTATTAATTATTTTTAGGGATCATATCTTATACACCGTTTCCTGGCTGAACGATGAAACTGTCGCTGTTACGTGGACGAATCGTGTTCAAAATGTCGGGCAGATTGTCGCTTACGACGTTTCTGGAAACGAAACGTATCTGTTAACGTTAAACGAGACAGAAGGATGGTTGGAGGTTCCCACTCCTATAATCCATGACGATTATTTGATCCTGTTAAGTTATCAGGAGTCGGGCACGGCTGCGGGACGTTTTAATCACGTGACAAGATATCAATTGTCCAACGGTGTCCTAAGTAACGAGACTGACATGAGTCCTGGCACTGTTGCCGTTACTTCTCTGCTTGGCACTGATAAAATCAACGAGCGAATCTACTACTTGGCCACAGGATCCGATGAACCGTCTCAGAGAAATTTATATTCAGTGCCAATAAAAGGTGACAATGAGCCTACCTGCATCTCTTGTAATTACCTGACACCTGAAGGTATATATATTAGGATTAAATAAATAATTTGTAATTATATGTGACGTATTAACTGAATAAATTGTAATTACAGGTAACAATTGCACCTACGCAACGGTCCGCTTTTCCAGTGACATGTCCTTCTATACGTTGACCTGTGCTGGTCCAGATCCCACGACAGCCAGGATTTACAACTCTAGCCACCAGCAGGTATATTCCTGGCAGGAGAATGAATCACTGCGAGAGAGACTTAAGGCCAAGCTGCAGCCAACGCCATTGAATTTAATAATTACTGCTAATGGATACGGCAGTAAAGTTCGTTTACTTCTACCACCCCAATTCGATGAAAATGATTCGTACCCCATGATGGTTTACGTGTAAGTGCCAGTATGTGGAGCTGTTGTCAAATATCTGCGCCCGTCCTAAACTCTCAAACGACTGGAATCCTTCGTATTCCAGGTATGCCGGACCAAACACGGTCAGGATCACGGACGCAGCCTCCTACGGTTTTCATTCGTTTATGACGACAAACAGAAGCGTGATTTACGCCTGGATCGATGGCAGAGGAAGTGCCTACAAGGGTAGCGCCATGCTTTACGAGATATACAGAGCATTAGGTACTGTTGAGATTGAGGATCAAATAGCTGTTACTAAGTAAGTAAAGAATGCTATCGGACAAACTAATTACATGATACAAGCATACGTGCAAGTGTATCATAGGTTGCACATTGACATTTTTTAAATGGAATTATTAATTCTTTTTTAGAATTCTTAAAAACAAATATTCCTGGATAGACTCAAACAGGATTGCTATATGGGGTTGGAGTTATGGTGGCTACGCCACTGCCATGGTTCTGGCTACTGACACAGAATCTGTGTTCAAATGCGGAATATCCGTAGCGCCAGTCTCTTCCTGGATTTACTATGGTAATTTATAATTAAAATTATTATAAGTCAGATAATCACGAACGCTAGGTATCAATCTTTATTTTTTTTATTCTTCAGACACCATGTATACAGAGAGGTATATGGGGTTGCCTACGAAGGAGGATAATCTGTATGGTTATAACGCGAGTGACGTTACCAGATTGGTTGATGGTATACGTGGAAAGAAATACATGTTAATTCATGGTACTGGCGATGATAACGTTCACTATCAGCAAGCAATGGCATTGGCTAAGGCTCTTTCTGCCGCGGATATATTATTCGAGCAGGTGTCCTATACGGACGAGGCGCACGGGCTTACCAGCGTTTATCCTCATCTTTATCACACGATGGATAAATTCTGGGGCGATTGTCTAGATTTGAGTTATATTTACTGAAAGGAGCAAGTACAAATGCCTTTTTACGTGTACGCAGTTAGTACGTATGTACTATGAAAGAAACCTTCATACCTCTGTACATAAGTAGATAGTCCAGGTATAAAAGAAAAGATGGTAGAGGAAAGAAGAGCGCAAGTTATCGTTATCATTGACTGGATCGTTATCGTTAATCCAAAAAAAACTTTTCCTTTTCTTAATTTTATTCACTTCTCTTCCCGTTTTCGTTGCGTTCCTTCGTGACTCTTCCTTCTCGAAATACTGCATTGTCCTGAATACTGGCTGGCGAGGGAATGAGTACCTGCGCAAACGGCTCTAAAGGTATTTCCCAGGACACCTGGGGGAAATAAGTACAGGCAAACACGGAAGCGATGACAGGGTGTTCTTATTGGACTTTGTAAATATCTAGTACCGCGGAAATTGGGTTTAAGGCTCGTCCTCGAAAATCTTTACCGTGTACCGACATATAGTATGATTAGAGAAGAGAGAAAGACAGCGCGGACTCTAAACGACGCTTAAATAGGTGGCGCACACCGCAAGGTCTTCTTGGCACGCGAGTTCTTCCTGCGGAAGCCACTCTGGGAGATTTACCACGAAGATTATAAGCATAGTCCTCGTCCTGGTCTTCGTTGTCGTTCCGCGTATTTCTTTACCGTTCTCCTTTCGAACGATCAGCAATTCTTCACGTTGTGAACGGTACGATTATAACCCCAAAATTCACTCTCCAGAACTGCCAAGAGGGTTAAGCCATTTGTACACGACGTGGGTCTCGCGTGACGCCAGGAACTTTCTAGACGTGAGAATTAATACAGATACTTAGTTACGAGCAAATAAGATGTTCCCAGTTCGGATAGAATCTTCGCGAAGATTCGATAAGGGCTTTTTGTAACCTAAAAAAAAAGTCTTTGTATACACGAGATTGAAGTATCCTTCATGGCTGAGTTAAGGGCTGCCAGGTAAATGTGTGTACAGTGTAAACTAAAGTAATCAGTAATATAAGGTTAAGTGCTATTAAAGGAACATGCTTTTATAATTAGATTGTCAAGTGAATACGGAATCGAACGTCAACACGTTTTCCCGTTGTATCGTGCGGGAATAATGAAATAAATCAAACAGCAGTGTATAACCAGCCAAAGAAGGAGAGACCTCTAGTGGTGAATATAATTACTAGTCCCGTATGATAGCGTGTCCTGGAGACATCAGTCAACTCGGCACCCACCTACGGCAATGACGGCGGTGCTGGGCAGCGACTTTTCAAATGGAAACATAGGAAACGTGAAACTATCACGGCCTCATTAGGTATATTTAATAGAACTTCGATCCTTATTTAGACTATGATAGAAGCTGATAAACGCAGATACCAAAGACCGTAGGAAAACAGCCATAACGCGTTGTCTCGTCTAATTCGCCAAAAGAGAAAAAACCCTTTCCTGACAAAAAAAGGTAAATCCCAAATCCATTTATCTTGTAAAGAGATCTTGCAAATTTTGATATTCCCTTGTCTCGACAGTCCCGCATCTTACTCATTATTTTTTAATTTTTGTATTCTTGACAGTATCCAGGTATCCAGCCATTTTTTCAACCCTACCAATGTCACTGCTGGCAGTAAGCTGCACAGCCAACTACGTCAAGAGAATACTTTTCATTGCTGTCGAGAGAGAGCATTTCGCTCGTGTAATGCACTCCACGCTGACTACATAGTCAGTCCAAGGGGTAGACAAAAGCGGCCGGAGTCTATTTCCCGCACGAGCGAGGCGGTTCGTGTTCCCATTGTCAGCGACACCCGAGAGTGGTTACAATAGGGCCTGGTCTCTCTGACTGTGTCTCCTCTCTTTCGATCCTTTTGCAAATGCCTACCGTCCCTCTCTGGCTCCGTGACGTTAGCTCCGTTCCATCCGACGTCATCCGATCATACATCAGCCTGGATGCCTAGTCCAGGTATCATTTGAATTTTTACAATCAATACCCAAACACGCGTCTCTTTACAAGTACAAAATAAGATTAAAAACTGCATTTCATTTTCCAGAAATAATAAGTCACCTTGATGCGATCCAGAAGCACAAGCAGCAGGAATAGTAACCCAGCTCCCAAAAGTCTAAATGCACGCGTACGTGGACACACGTGAGTTCAGGCTGTTCAGGCTTTTACCACGAGTGAAGACTATAACTGTTCCTCGGTCGATTGGGCTGTGTAAAAGGGGCCAATGCGGCACTACAGAAATGAGTATCTTCGCCTAGACAGGAGGCAGCCATAGCAAGGGATGCTTCTACGAGTCATGCATCATACATCACGGACTAGGAGCCTCGTTGACTACTGGAAAGGCAGGATTCGATGAGTGATTGATGCCCTGCCTTGGGTATAGCGATATGGAAGTCAAGAAAGAAGCCCCAGTAGGAGTCTCCTCGGAAGGAATAATCCATCCCCAGGTTACTACGTCTCTTCGTGGATCCTCCAAAGGGTGTAGCTACTATCACCCAAGAGGCTATAAGCGTCTATCTGGCAAAGCCACGCGGTTACTACAGGAAATTCTAAGGGACAGTGTCATGGGGATTTCTAGAGTGTATTGCGGAGAACGTTGTAAAGTCAACACGCACCTCGCAAGGTGTTTATGCTAACGTAGTTGACGTCGGCGTCGCGGTCGGACGTGACGTCTGACGTCGCGGAAACGGCGGATCCGTCAGGCGACAGGTATCGCGATAGCGTCCTGCTACCAAGAATCGCTTTTATGAATACTTATAAGTGGGTTAGAAGGCTCGTAGACAGGGGATGAAGGGGGATGTCGTGATAGAAGGCGAAAACGATCTTGGCATGTCCGTAGTCTGGTTTACGCCTAGACAGAACACGTGGTGGCCCCACTGAGAAATGGCGTCTATCTAAATCCGTAATGTAAGCCGGGTGGGATATGGATAACGTCCTCTGCACTCGGCACTGGCTTACCTAGAATTTACATTCGGTCGATTAATAGTTACACTCTGTAGTCTGGACCATGGAACAAGCTTGTAGATATAACTATATACACTGCATGTATACGTATATACAGATCCATACTCTAAATTGCTATAGTGTCAGAGGAAAACCGTTTAACTCTATCTGAACTAGTATAGAATCAGTGATAAAAATTGATAGAATATATTTTTAAAAACATTAATTTTATATATACATATATATATGTGTATATTACCTGTATCGTTTTTTCATGGTACTTTCGATAAACGAGAACAGTCAAGGCTGATACTTTTTGTCTCAGGCAGCAGTCCAACTGCGATTTCTCGCAAATGACGTTTCTTAGCTCTTCTTTCTTAATTATACAGTTGGACAAGTACAGGGGAGTACAGAGTGGGCACGGAAATGGCTCGATTAATTTTAAATGGCTCCGTCGCGGCTAGAACCGTTAATCCGTGTCTCTGTATACGTATATACATATGTGAAAAAGCATTTTATGACTTTACCGTTCCACCAACAGTGACAATCGCAATGATCCTATACACGTGCGAGTGTACATATACGTGAAGATTCTAGAGCGTTCCTCGATTTATCGATCATCCAAACTTATTTAAGAATCATTTATTTATTTATTGTAGAAAGGCATCATCTTTCATTCAGAGACGTAATATACGTATACTTGTATTTTTTTGTACCGTAGAAATAGCTTGTACGTCCATCGGTTTTACGACTATTAGCTAGCAGCTATTAGCGACCGTGGTAATATTTACAAGGGGTAAACCAGAGGCCAATGTATCACTCGGGAGATTAGTTAAAAATTCGAATCGGACCCAGTTTCCTGAAAAGCGATCGACCCTGATGGAAACCCTTGGCCAATAATATCCTCGTTAGCAGCTTCGCGTTTCTCGCTGGCTTCCTGTTTCTTTCTCTTTTTTTTCACTCCTTTCTTATCTCTTTTACTTCCTCTTCTTCCTTCACTTTACTCTCTCATCTTGATAGCCCGGCCAGATACCGATCTTTCAAATTCTCGTGCTTCACGTCCCCTTTGAAAATTACTCAACGCCATCCGCGGTACCACTATAATAATTCATGGCTGAGATTGTATGCTCTGGTGCGGCTTCCGCCCTCATCTAATTTCATTTAGTATAACGTAGGCTAATTCCGCAAAGAGCCACTTAGCCAACTCGAATGGCCGGCGAGCATGGTGATTCGCGTGGAATTTGATAGTATCGACTCTTTCCTTTGTTCTTTTTATTGATCATTAGACTCGGCCGAGTATGAAGTAACGTTACATCGAGTCCGTAGATATAATATTTATTGGCTTTAAGAACACGTTAGATAATATTGGAAACTTAGCCTGGCAATATTCATAAGTAGCTGCATATCAATAGTCTGATGGTTGGTAGATGTCAATGTTCATTTTGAGGTTATAAAGAAAGCGACTGTGGAACAGGGGTATGATTAATTGTAAAAAATTGAATAACCTCCACCGTTTGAGTATTGTTTTAGCCTCGTATCGAGTTTCCCTAATATTTAGTGCAAATGATGTGTACACACCATGCTTGTTGAACGATCATGCGGTTAACGAGGCAGCCCTGATTTATGTCCATGTAAATTGCAGCGCCGGCTGATTCGCTAAGCTAAGAGACTAGAAGCGTCTGTTTCCCATGGGACTGTAGAAGGGAGAGGCATGATAAATAAATCAGGCATAACGATATAGAATTAAATAGACTGTTAAAAGTAAAGGTAATCGCATTAATACACTCGCCCATTAGATCAAGTAGAACTTAGCTTTTTCATAGTGAAACGTTGATGCGACGTTTTTTCAATTGTTCTCTGCCGATTTACAGTAAAGAAGCCAAGCACAGAAATAACGGGACGCAGGATGATATCGACGCTGGACGTTCCAAGATTGATCGAGCGTCTCGCAGGTCATTCGACCCTTGCCAAGAGGATCTATTCATCCATTTTGAACGTGACGCTTCGTACTGACAAGGAATATTTTATCCAGCAGCCAAGTGACGCGAGCTATCAGAATTATTTTACGATGCAGATATACAGGTTTGTCTATACTCACGGAGGTTATGTTCACGGTGCTCAGCCGTAGCTCATCGTAATAAAGGATGAAACTTTCTGAAACGAATACCACATATTTTGCAGAGTGGCAGATGCATCAGCGGATGCTGCACGGATGCTGGACACGGTGCAGAATGGTTATGGATAGAGGCTGGAGTATATTGGAGTCTGGGTAAGACGGCCTGATGGTACGTTTCAGCATTTAAGGGTCATAGAGAGAGGAGTATTCCCTGGCGATGTCTTAGCAGGGTCCTCGTCTTGGTCGTTAATCCCCTCCTGGGTTTCCGAGAGCGATTAATCTCGTGAGCAACACACCTGACGTCCTTGACCCTCGGGGTAGGAAGGTCGCGGAGACGTCAAGGACATGCATGCAACGGCGTGGGATCGATGGCGCAGTAAACGCCATACTTTCCATAGAAGAGGATCGTTTAAACGCGAGGGTAAACGCATCTCCAAGGTGTGTAGATAAAGTAGGTGAAGTTAAGGCCGTTGTAGTTGCACGTCAGGGTCGTCGTGGATATGCATAGATCACAACCGTGAACCCGGGGATTTTAGTCAACATGCATATCCAGGACTCACGGACTCCTGGCTGCACGTATCCTGCTCGGTGGAATAGTGGGCAGCGGCACGCACGGTATTTACGTTTCTGATAGCGCACCAACTTTTTTTACCCCTCTGTAGGTAAATCATCGCCTACCGTGCTATGCGCGACCGATGTGCGCATGCGCGAGCATATCGCTGGGAGCAGGGGTCCACTGTTTTTGCCTGTCGAATTTACGAACGGCACGCGAGCAAACACTTCGTACTGAAGAGGGATGATGATGGTGCACGTAATCGGCCTTGCTCTTTGCGACTAGATGGACTTGGGTATGTATACATACAATAGATACTGCTTACATGTACTTCGAAGATACAGAAGATGGGCAAGGTAAGTCGGCCATGGTACCGACCTTAGGACGTTGAGGTGAATTACATGGGACTGATTTCATAGGGGGATGAAGGAGAGAGAGAGAGAGAGAGAGAGAGAGAGAGAGAGAGAGAGAGAGAGAGACGGAGCGGATGAGTCTGGAGCAAGATGAGTATTCTGAGGGATGGAGCTGTTTGAGGAACAGTTGAGGAGCGAGCGAGAGAGAGGGATGAACAGGAGCAGGGTGAGCAGGAGCAATGCAAAGTTTGGTGGAGAGGGCAAGCAGGAGAGAGCCGAAGAGGAGAGCGAAGAGAGCGGTAGAGGAAGAGGACGCAAAGGGAATGGTAGGGGAACTCTCGGTGGAGAGGGCGTAGTGGTGCTGAGGGACGCAGAGCAGGCAGATAGAGGGAGATATTGAGAGGGTAAGAGAGAGAGAGAGGAGAGTGGTAGAGAATCCAGGAGCGTAGGAGAGGACGCTGAGGTGGTACTAGCAGCAGGAATGGAGGGGTCTGGTGGGGAAGCACCAGGAGGCCGAGGCTGCGGCGTAGCCTCAGTGCCGGCGCAGTGGCCGGGCCATCATGTCCTGCGCTGAGGTCCTCTTGTAGTTTCCGGCAGCCTCCTCTCTCTCTTCTCGCGAGGTTTCCTTTATTCCTGGTCTCTTTCGTTCTTCATCCACGTACCAACGCAACTGATAATTAACCAGGAGGCGCGCTGACAATACCTCACGGCGATAACGTGACAGACGTAGTGTGAGACGGTGCGGGCACGGATCTTCATGAACCGGGGAGGTTTTGCAAGTTCATATTGTTTTCCTGGTTTACCCTCTTTGCGTTGATCTCTCTATTTGACGTTCACAAGAACGAGGCATCGCGAAGGATACGCAGCACGCGAGGGAGTAGGGAGCAAGGTGGGAGCCATGCCGCCCGGGCGAGCTTGCCTCGAGCCCCCCAGGATCCTTGCGCTACCCCCGTACCCTCGTTGCCGGCAAATACTAACCTATCACCTATAAAGGTAAGATCTCTGCTCCAATGAAATCTTAGTAGCCATTAAATTTCTCTGTACTATCGCTCATGCGTCATATACCTGTACGACAGGTATCATACTAATCATTACGTGTCCTCTTGAAGATATCCTCGAGCACTTACGCACCTACGGGAATACGTAATATCCTGGGGATGACGCCCACTCTGGTTCCTGTCGCTTTTCATCCTGCTTTGGCCGCCATCCTTTTTCATTGCTACTCTTACCCTGGACCGTCACTTCCCTCCTTGGTTCCTCTGCCGCATCATGGACCCACCTTTCGACACCACCGCCATCCCCAGAAGTCGGGGCTTCTGTCTGGAACATCCGTTTTATACTCTGTATCCTGGAAAGACATTCGGAACAGGTTGATTGGAGCTTCCGGAAGCTGCGGCTTATCAACCCTTGCGAATGGTATTTAACATAGAGATCTAACGAGGCGCCAGTCTCGTGCCAGTAGACGTTTGGCTCGTGCCACTCTGATAAGTTATCAAGTATCTACCTAGTTACCTAAATTTGTGCACAACTTCCGGACTCTGCTGTAGTCATTGCCCAGTCACCTTATATCAGTACCTGTTATTTATACCTGATGAACTGTCGGTTTCCCATTTGAATCCGAAAGTCCTTGTATCTTATTACTTCAGGACGCATTTCCGGTTCTGCACGCGAACGAGTTTCAAGAGCTTTCTAAGAGTTCGAGGACGTTTCAAAAGGCGTCGCGACGCCTCGCCGTCGTCTCGTGCCTCACGAACGGTGCACGTAACACCCTTCACTTTGCGAGATGCCGTGAAAATAGACGCTTGTCAAATTAAACAATAGAGCGTTCGTGATTATCATTGAGACACATTGAAAATTCATATATTCATTATATATAACGGGTGACCTCTTAAAAATCAATGTTAAACCGTCATACTATTCTTAAGATAATTTTTCAATTATTTTCACATCAGTCACCGACTGACACACACTGTGAACGCGAGTTTACGTTATGTCTGACTTTTCTTTTTAATTTGTCTTGTTTTTTTTTTTTCATCGGTCAGTCGAAGTCATAAGTCTCTGTATATATATCTGATGGAAAGACTTTTGCTCTCTTCTTTCTTTTGTTCTCTCTCCACTTCTATTATCTATCTTTCCGTCTGTCTGACTTTTTACTTCTTTTTCCTATCTTCCACCAAGATACGTATTTATACGACCATCGACTACGAAGCTCCATTTGCCTCCCTTTAACTCTTCGACGGTCTCATTCAATATCTTCGATCAGCGACTGTCGCTCGATCCTCGACGATATCGCCAAGTTTTCAAAAGCTCAATATTCAATATCTTCGCAGATGCGACTCTATAGGTACATTCGCAATAGACTCTACGCTAAGGATATCGTTTGTACGTAACGAGAGACCCTCTAGGAGCAAGGATGTGTATCTTGCTGTAATACGATATTGCGTAAAGGCTGATAATACATGTTCTCCACGAAGCCATCCGAGACACCTTGAGCTTATTTCCGTTATCCGGTACAAAAGTTTTATCTATCGTTCATCAATAGCTCCTAGTAGTACTTATCTGTAAATAGGAAAAGAAAAAAAAAAGCATTGTAACCAACAAAATCGAATCTATTCGAAATCTCGTATTGCCGGTTGCTAAGTAACAGATAAACAAAACTGGCGCCCTCTCTCGTTGGTTCTTCGAGTTAAGCCGCTTTCCAATCTTGGTTACTCTATGGTAGTTACAGTCACAGTGGCAGTAACTGGTAACCTGGCGTTGTCCAGACGAAATAACACGGACAGGAGAAATAATGACAGAGTTCCTGAGGTATGTGAACAGAGTATTGGAGGAGATGGAGCTAAAGGCTGGAGAACATTTTCTACCTCATGAAGACCTAGTCTGCCTCGCGATGATAACCAACTTAGAAGTTGTTCCGACAGGGAGATTTGCCGGGCGTATTGTCTCCGTAGGTTCCGCTTCGTTCTCCTATCAGCAGCATTATTATTATAAGTAGCTAATGGACTAGTAGTCAGCCACGTTAGCTAGTGATGATAGTACGCGTATAATCAGAAGTTTCATACAGTGTTGGGCTACTTACGTAGTCGCTGTACAGATATAGATACTGTATCATTTATATACGGTACGTTACATGAAAAATTCTGTAGAGTTGGTTTCTTTTGTAAAAACAAAATTTTTTTAGGTTATGGCGTTCCGCTTTATCTTGAAAATCCAGAGGATATTTCTTGACTCCGGTGCATTCTTGGACATTGAAGTGAATCGAGCTTGGAACGTTTCTTACTCAAGGAAACGAATCTTCCTGAAGATTTTTTTAGGAGTCGCGGGAAGCGTCTTAAAACAAGATGGAACAGTAAAGCGATTTACGACTTATCGATATCCCAGGCTTTGCATTTAGGAGTTTAAAGGGAGCTGATGATCCATATTGGAATGGCAGTTGTAAAGGTGTCATCCGCTAACGACAATCTGTGATTTTTCGACTGTTAGGATTTCATGTCCTGAAGTCGGTTCTGGATATTGTTTAAATTTCTTCTGGACCTGTTCATGCGGAATAGTAAATAGGAGATGTATATAAAAGGTATATTCCGGTACGAGATAACCAGGAGAGAGAAGGTAGAGATAGAAGAGAAACGAGAGAAGTATTCGAAAATGGAGTCAGGGGGTGGCAGAAAAAGTTCAACTAGAACCTAGCAGCAGGATCGATAACTCTGTCATAACCCGATAGGAACAACAAAACCGCACGTGTCAGACTTGGCAGGTTGCAGCAGCCCCATCCCCCGCTCCTTGGGACGATTGAATTTTTGCGCGACGTGGATAAAGCCACCCTTGGCCATAATTTGAATATCATATAAGATCCTCTAAGTTTGTAGGATCTTATAATCTTTCCTTCTTTTTTTTCTCCTTTCTTTATATCTCCCCTTTTCTTTCCACTTACAAAATAACACCAGTCTCCTCTGTTGACTGATTCTCAAGAATAGCCTGATCCCCCAGGAGTCAGTTGTCTCTGCTAGTCGAAAAATAGTTAGGGATGAAAATCAGCCTTGGGAATTGTCACATATCTATGGATCAGTGGCCTGACTCTCTTCTCGTGTAAATAGCATCCTTGGTCTGAAAGAAAGGAGATCCTAGGAGATGTTTAATTTTTACATTTTGATTATTTCATCCCCATGCGTTACACGAGGAAGAATGAAATTCTGGAAAATAAGGTAAACTCGTATGTTGATAGAAATAAAAATATCTTCCATAACGAGAGGGACTTTATATAATCTTATTAAATGCTCGTCCCCACGGAGGGTAGTCATCTTCACTTTTCATCATCCCCCTTGGAATCTAAGACCCTCGGCGTTGCAAAAGCTTTAAGGTATTCTATCGATCAATTTTCTTAACGAGAGAGAAAATCATTTTGAAAATTCACAATGCTATAGTCTGTGTTATTTATGGTCCGGCAGTCGAGAATCTATAGTAACTTAGTATGACCACTGATATGTATTTATTATGACCTTATTTTTCAACTATTTTCAAAGCCAGTCTGTCTTTGGACACCGGTCGGGCTGCCACGAGCTCCCGGGCTGTTTGTTGATAGGTTTTTCATATGTGTTTCGTATACGGTATATAAAGTTCTAGCTTGTGTGGTTCTCGCGTTGCTCTCGCAATATCCAGAAAATTCTATCGATTTTCTCAGTTGTTTTTCGGAGGTGCAGTGTCGTGCTATAGTGTAGTGGCCCAACTGAGTGTCCCCTGGATGCAGTTCTCCGGCTTCACGGATCAGCTGAACCAGCTCCGGTGAGCACTCCCAATTTATTAATTGGTGGAGGAATTGCGATTTTATAGCTCTGGCTCGGTCTGCCACCTTCTCGATTAACTGCTCTCTGGATTCCGGCATTATTCACGTTCGTGCATTCAGTTAGTTGCGTTTCTCAATTTTATGCGTCCCCAAAAATCGACAGAATCCGCTTAAGCTATCGTCTCTTCTGATAGGTTCCGTCAGTGCTCGCGTTTTGGTGGAGTTCAGACTGTTCCACCTGGACTCCCAGGTCGTACCGGCTCGTCAGTTCCCGACGAAAAAAAATTGGCTGTCGTCCGCCTGGCATGCGGATGCATGGACGAAGGGCGGACGGCCGAAGGTGACGTAGGTTAGCTCTCGTTTTTAGGTTATGGAAGTCGAGTTAAGAAAATAGGGTACAATGATTATGACCTTTGACCTGGTACGGTACTGGGAGTTACTTTAGACGGTCCAAAAGGATCTTTGGCAAACAAGCCATTTCCATTCGTTCATCGTTTGAAGAAAGTCATAATGTTCCAAATGCGGAAGGGTTGCGTCGTAGCTGAAAAAAAAAAGGAATAAAATTGAAACCTCACTATATCTACCTCAGCATCTGTTTGCGGCCCTGTGCGAGGGCGAATCTCTATTTGATCTCGACCGACGGTTATAGCAATATTAATATATCAGTGAAAACGTCGAACCACCCGGTGGACCATTCTCATCGGTGCTATTTAATCTTTCGACAAATAGCCATGCCAGAGAATCAGGTTGCGTGCAATAAATTCCGCGTTTGTTGTCTCTCGAAATCGAAACGCAGCGGGGCCGAAGCGTCGGGACGCCCGGAAATGCAAGTGGTGCATCAGAACCGTGCAGCGTCGAGTGTTGATAATTGTCATTAAAATTACTCGCACCTACAGTTCCTTTCACTCTGGTGCAACAGCATCACAGGGATAGCCCTGTAGGAATAAAAATTTTGAGAAATTAATATCAAATTTAAAAAACTGTTGACCGTTAAAAATATTTTGAAGCGATTCAATCGTTTAGAAAACTTATTCTTGATACTTATCAATATTGTATTTTCTTATCAGTGTCTCCATGTATATGCTACGCTCTTTGTAAGCGATATGTCCTGGCAGTCAGGTACTCCAGATAGGTAATTGAGATAGGTTCGCTTAGCAGGCGCCATAAAGCGGGTAAGTCCCCGGCACCCCGAGGAGCCCCCTTGCGATATTACATATATCTTGCCAATTAGAAGCTGATATCAGCGAGCCCTGTACTGGCTCCACCCACGTCTTCAATTTTAGATTAGAGATCACTGAGCGGCGCCTTTGATCCGATCAGGTGGTGATACCACATGGGGATTATTTGAGTCCAGGGTCCACGTGTCATCCATGACAGTTATGGGTCTAAGGTTCTCTTCGTACATCATTTCTTGGTTTAATGATTTAACATTTTCTTCCCAGATATCCTAACCTTGACAGAGATCACTCCGCTCCTCAGCATCCCAGGAATCCTTCCGGACTACGTTAGATGGATACGTTCAGTGCGATATCGGCACCTTTTCTCTAGAAGCAAAAGACATAGGGAAAGCTGTATAGATTTTTGTCAGGATAAGAAGGGAGGCTTGGAGAGTTTATAAGAGAGTAAAAGAGAGAGAATGAGGGGGTTGGAGATAGGATAGGAATACTTGGTGATGGGCAAACAAGGGAAGGAAAGAGAAGGAAGGTGTACGTAGTTTGGCTGGGTTTCAGGAATGAAAGGGAAATATTGAGAGGGGTTAAGAGAGAGCGAGAGAGGGAGAGACTATGAATTCTGATATACATTCGCAAAGAGGAAAGAAAGAGACTCGCTCACTTTCAGTCTACTGAAATACTCTCGTTAAGAGAGAGAGAGAGAGACAGATAGAGCTTGACTTAAATCATGTGAAAATTCCGAAGACCGCAGTCTAATTCTACACGTACAATAGGGTTTCCAACAGCACTTAAAGTATGGTGGGACAATAAGACTGCGAAAAAGCCAAGAGAGAGTGAGAGAGGGAGATCCAATAGAGTCTAATGATACTGGCGACTTTCATCTATGCCATAGAAAAGAAAGTTACTTAAAAAAAAAGGTACAAGAAGTCATTACTCCCTGGAACATTTTTAACAGTCTCCAGTACCACCCTTGGAATTCCCAAGACCGCCATTCCTCTTTTACGTTTGGACAAAGCCATCCCCTTTCCTCCCTCGATAGGTCCACATAGCAGAGCTTAAGAATCTTTAAGACTAAACTTTGCCTAGTTTTTGTCAAGTCTAAAAAAAAATAAAACACATTACTATATGTCTGTCCAGGCAAACTTACGTATCCGAAGTGAAGTAAAGCTTGTATTTAGAGGGTCTTACGTAAATAAGGTAAAGCACTGTGGTTCCTAATGAGTAACAGGGTAAAGGCAGTTGGCTTGGGCAGACGTGAAATATTTGAAGCCTAATTAGTATTTTCGCTACTTACTAAAAACGCGTGAGTTTATTCAACCCAAACCCACCACCTGTGTATGGTTTAACCATAGGACTCAACTACTGAACAACCCTGTATACACATACACAAGATAGATAACTCTAAGGATTTCTAAATCCAGCATCCCTTCTTAGTTCAAATAATAATAACGTTGACGAGCCATGAGCATACGTTAAAATTATACGGTCAAAATTTCATGAGGTTATGTTTCCACGGACACCGTTTCCACAACGTGTCCCAAATGGTCGACCTTAGTCATTCCTGTGGGAAATACCTTTCAACGGAATCGCAGTAGAGAACCTATCCTCTTTTGTATACCAGGCGTACTTCCTAGGAGCGCGACGCCGAGTCCTTATTTCTATAGTACCCTGGATGCCTTGCAGCTTGTTTTGTTAACTCAACCGGGAAGACTCTTTTCGTTCCTTTGGGAGCCTGGATGTTTGATCCTGTAAAATATCAGTCTGAATATATTCAAACATTACTAGCGTTACTGTTCATGGGTTGTCCGACCACTATGGGATATTCTACTGTTTGTTTCTATTTTATCCTATACAGGAAATCAAAACACGTACCTAAGAGTTTTGTAGAATCAGTAGACCATCTTTACTAGATTTATATATATATATATATGTGTGTGTGGAGATTGTGTAACAATTAGTACCTAGAGTCAGGACTTCCTTCCGGCAATTAGTCGGTCTTAACGCTTAAAATACTATCATGCATTAGTACCAGCTTCCTGCCGTTGTAGTTTTCGGTCCAGGATGGCCACAAGCTGACCAGAGGAACCTCAAATCCCATTATATCCTTCTCTTCTCGGGGAAATGTTCTTGAATCTCTAGTGCGAAACAATTCGAAACATTAGAACGACATTTAGAACTACGTTTAGAGTCAAATGTATTCTTTATAACGATAGAAAAAGTATTGAAAATGCTGCGTGTGACTGTGAATGTATATTTAGTCTGCTTTTTCCTTGTTCGTTATATTATACCATAATAAGTTTCTTACTGTGCTTTTATGTCGCGTCACGAACTTTCACCAAGAGTTTACCAGTTAGACGTAAAACAACCCCTTTCCTCCGAGTTTTCCTGTGAACCAGGACTTCCCTCATTCCCGTCACGAATTCGCGTCTCATCTCCGAGGTCCAACCGTGCTGAACCCTAGGATGCATAAATTATAAGACACATAGTGGAAAACTGGAACCACTAGTGATTGTAACGTAATAACGTTACTCCGATCTGAAGTTAGCTCCAAGGCGTCGACCAAGTTGAATACAGTTGAACGTGAGTACGGAAGATCGCACGGTCTTTAGGGCGTCGGGACGGCCCCTGGCATATGGAGGAAGCGGCAACGTAGACTACGTAAAAGCAGAATAGTGTTAAACCTGGGGAATGCTGTCCCTTGGTAGGATTTAAATTAATTTGGCTGGTGGGCCATCCTTTGCTACTGTTGATATGTTACATATCTATATAAGGTATACCTATTTACATGCTCACTGCTGTCTTATCAGGGTTGCAGCTGGGCTTCTAAATAAATCCTAGGAACAGGTGCCTGACTCCTGGTGCTCATCGTGATTCGCGGCTCCACAGGTTGTGAGATATTAACGTTGGCACTGTTCCTATTGTAGGTCGAGTATAGTTAAACTACTCAGAGCGTAGGTATCCTGGTTCATTTATGTCCTTCGTAAATATTGAAGAACGTTGCTCAGGATGCAAATCAAGGATGCATGTCATCGTGGAACCTAAAAGCCGGAGATTATTAGTACGTAGATACTTCCTGTTTACAGAAATCTTTCCGAGATCCCGAACGACCGAGATTCCAAACGACCTGTACCTCGTATTCGCGACACCCCAGCTGATTCGCGTCTAGAGATGACTCGAGATAATGCACGAGGTTAATTTTAAAATGCGTACAACGACGCCCGAAAAACTTTGAAAAATTCACAACTGCACTGGGCCTCAAGGCAAGTCTGCGTCATACCTTAAATTCTATAGGGACGATGGTGTATTCCGTAAATCTCCTCGCAGAGGGATGAACAGTTTTCGAAGTTTCCTTAGCTATATCCTCTCCACCAGTAACGTTTCTCTAAACGCTCTGAAGTCCTTGAGACTCGTGACGAGAATGAGAGAAAGAGAGTCAAAGAGAGTGTTAAGTATACGTGCCCGAAGGTTCCGTCATAAGCAAGCTTGGCCAGGAAGTAACATTGAAGTAGGCGTTTAACGACAAAGCCAGCCAAGTAGTCCAAACGAGCAGTGTAGAAGGCAGCCAAGGAGGCAGAAGAAGTCTTATTGTTAGACATCCGATTGGACGAGGTTCTGTTAAAGACAGCGAGGCGCCTCCTTGTCACTTTCGGCACGTTGCGTCACGGCTACTTTTTTAATTCGCAAATCTCCCGTCGTCCGCAGCGCCATCTCTCGGCGTCTCTTCGATACTGCATGCACATGTACATTTGGTACGTCAATCGGACTGTATAAAAAGTACGCGTGCCCAACGCACCATATTTTACTTCTCAACTCGTTCGTCGTCAACCCTTGCCAACCCGTTCAACAGGGTGGGTCCCTTGTTACTTCTTTCCTCTTTCAACCTTGGCAGCCACAACACATTGGACGAAGAGAAAGGAGACCGCCGGAGGGCTAATTACAGGCGAGGCTTGTTTTAACGCTCCTCATTTGAATAAGAGCCGACGTGACCTGTATGGCTCGCTGTGCATGCCTCAGCCTTACAAGCCCATATTTCTAACCTATAGGTACGAAGCTTTAAAGTATAATATAACTATAGTTAAAATTCACGTCTCCTATTTAGTAAAACTTACTGTGTACCGGCGACGTACCTTTTTAACTGTCGTTACAGTCACTACGCTATTTCAACGTTTTGCTACGTGACACGGTATCCTTTTTTTTTTACTTTTTTTCTATCTCCTACAAATACTTCCTATATTTTATTTACTGCGATCATTCAGCTTTTACGAGCGCCGGACAGGCGTCTTTCTTTCTTTTTTCTCATGCGTAAGAGCTAAATTCGTTTGAGAAATATTACTAAACATATAAATCTGCTTTTTTACGTTTCAATAATGTTTCTACAACGTATCCGAATCTTTTATACTGCATGGAATATCTCATCTGGGATATTCCAGTTGTTCTCATTGAATTATCTTCTGTATAGCAAAGGGATGCTTTGGAATTTACTTATCACGCGCCTAGTATTCCTTATAAGCCACAGTCGTAATCTTCGGTTTTATTGAATCCTCTATACGCTTCCATGACGTTCGATAAGCAATTGATTTAATAAAATTTGATATCCTCGTTAAATTAATAATTGGAAATATCCTTTTTTTCTTGTACAGTCTTTATAATTAGATCGCTTATACGCTCTATGGTGTGGTTGAACGTTTAACGTTTGAATCGCCATACGTCGATAAATGATCGCGTGATGAAAACCCATCGGGGATTTCGCGATTTCCGTATTACCAAGCAAATTTAGACATTCATACAGAATCGAATCCTACTGGCAATTTTACACTAATCAGAAATATCCCGTAGTTACGTTTCATCGATTTTACGGATCTCCACGGTACCTGGGTACACGATACAGGTATGTATAAGGGTACCCGTTAACATTCACAGTAATACGTATTTCTTGCGTGAGAGAATTTAATGAGATTCAAATTAATCCTATGCCATTTCAGATAATCTAAGAACCTAAGAACTTTGTAAATGAATTTCAAAAACCGTCCTGCTTGGATATCTTGTTGGATGCTTCTTCAAGGAATGGGTTGATAGCTACCCTGTATATATAGTTATACAAATCATCTTCATGGTCCACTAGTGGATACTACGGATCCTCCCTTGCTGTACGGCGGGGGTGGGACGTTGTTCTGACGTCGTAAAGTCCATCAAGGCATCCCTTCATAGTTTATACGAAATAGCCAGGGACGCTTTAGAGGTCCGCAAAGGGTACTGAAAACTGTTGCGGGGTAGAGTGGAGGTCAAGCGGAGTAGGAATTGTTGCGGGTGGTTGAAATTCTATAGAACTTGGAGAAGGCTTGGAACCCTGGGAAATCCACCCTTGGAGGATCTGAGAATAATCTTGCACCAGATACCGAACCGTGAAAGGTATGCTGATGTAGATGTGTAGCTGGAAAATCCAGCTGCCAGAAACGTTCAGTTGTATATGCAGACTTGTCAGTTAAGGATTCTTCAATCATTGCAAAGGGTATGAGAATTTTACTTTTAAAATTTGCCGAGAAACGTTGAAAAAATTTTATCTTTAATAATTTTACATTTTATTTGCATACAGTCAGGTTGGTTAGTTTTTATTGACTTTCGAAATTTACCATATTTCATTACTAATTCAGTTTTACTTCATAACCTGCGTCAGTACTGTGAACTCCTGGACATGTTTTTGTATGTTAAACCAACGTCATGGCTCTGAGAGTTTAAATAGGGTAATTTAGACGTAAAAAAATAACGTGCACGGATGAGAGTAATGGCTATATATATATATATATATATGGAAACTAGTCGAGCTGAATACAAGTGGCTGATTCGGTACTAAAAAGGCCAAGCAGAGCCGTCCAATGAATAGCCAGGGGAAAATGCACTTCGCCGTAGATCAAAGAGAGCGTGGAGTGCCACTAATTACAAGCAAGTTAATAGAAAAATTTGTCTGCGATCCAATATCCCTTGTTAGCAATGAATTTTTTATTCCTTTATATCTCCACCCTCTGTCTTGCTAATTTTTATTTTCCATCGTCATTCCGCGCCGTTTGTATTTCCCGCTTTGCTCTTCCACTGCGACAGGGGATTCTGGGAGCTTTTTCAAAAGGATACGGGGATTCACCTAATTGTATGAACGAAGGCGGGAGACCACGTTAATCCCTCGGGATATAATTTAACGAATCTACGAGGAGAGGACACGGCTCTCGTACGTGTACCTAGTGTATTATACTTGCGGATGTTACACAGTGAACGAGATGAATTTGGAGGGTGGATGAAAGATGGAGGGATGAAAAAAAAAGGCAAAAGCAGAATAAAGAGGGATGGGAAGAAACGTTAGGAAAGAAAAAAAAGATTCTTCGGTGTGGGTTGCGAAATGAATAGTACGACGGGTGGGGGAGGAAGG